AAACATGTGATTTCGTCCTGTGTTGATTTAATCTAGTCCGCGTTGCGTAGAAAAGGTGCATTCTCTTAATTATAGATCGCTGACTGTGAAAAAAAAATTCGGTTAAATACAAAACTTAAATCGCCAAAACACTTAGATCTTACTTTGTCGGTCTGTCTGTGTCCCCTGGTGTTTATGTCTGTTGACTTTTTGCAATTTATTGAAGTAATACGTATATAAAAGCAATTTGCAGACTAAGTTTCTTATTAACAGTAACCATCTTCCACATGTTTAACCATGATACAAACAAGTTTATATGAAATTTCATTTCATTTCAGCAATATGCAGTTCTCTACGAAAGACTAAGACAATGATCATAGTCATCACGTGTTCAACTGTACCGAATACTACAAGGGAGCCTGGTGGTACAACAACTGCCATATGTCCAATCTGAACGGATTGTACCTCAGTGGCCCCGAAGCCCCTTATTGTAAAGGAGTCAACTGGCTCACTTTCCGGGGCTATCACTACTCACTAAAACGCACTGAGATGAAAGTAAAAACAAAGGCATAAGACGATGTCTATTCTAGAGTAAACGAGAAGGAAACAAATTGAACTTAAACTTGCGCCAAACCTACCTTAGCAAGTAAATACGTTTTTAATGACACCATCAAATTGCATTTTCTTCAACAGTTTTATCGAAATTCACACCGATGAAGTAGTGTTTAAGTGCAGCCCATAGTTTATATACGTTATCATAATCTTAGTCGTAAAAATCCTCCTGTGAAATCAATTACTTCACCGAACTTTGTAGAACGTTGGCGCACTTCACAAAAGGGTCGATTGAAAATATGTACGGTACATTAAAAAGTCACTATTTTTGACTAATTGTCGTTCTGTAAAACGACCCGCCCCTAGCAAGTGATAAATCGCCATTAATTCAATTCAACAATGCAACAATTATTAAAAGACCGCATAACATTGTACGGAACGGTAAGCATTCACAGCAAAATAATTAAAGTAACGATAATCGTATTTGTCGAAGTTATAATTAGCCTCGAAAGCTTTATATATTATCACTCAAGCTTTTCAGAAGAATAGAAGGCTGCTCTAGAATTTTATTATTTATTCCAACAAAACAAAAAGCAGTTTTTAAAGTTGAACAATTTTTTAAAGTTCAGTATAATGTAATAGCCTCTAAGTGCTTGTGACCTCTTACGCCTCAACCAGTCGTTATGCGCGTAACATGCAGTGCAATATTAATTTTTGTTTTCTTACGTCGATAATCCAAATTTCAATGTAGATCCGAAAAGCAATGACAACTCAACCAAAAGTTGCTTTACCTATGAACGTCCATGTTACCACCTGCAGAGCCGCTTTATCCTCCAACTGAAAGCCTGGTGCACTGGATTCTTACACCGTTCTCATATAATTAATTAATCATTTTCTTTTAGTGGCGTTGAGTTTCCACAAAAGATAAAGACAACGATAAGTATGAAACAACTGTGCCCAGGAGTATGCAGGAGGCCGATGATACAGTAGATGCCATGAAAGCAATCTCAATAGTCTTTATTTTCGTGGTGAACACTCTACGTTTGCGAATGGAGTCAATTGGTTCAACTGGAGGTTGAATTCTAAGCGATTCTAAGCGTTGACTTTTCTTTCTCTGTGAGTGAGTTCTAAGCCCTTCAGCCACTCTCGGCAGTTTTATTGGACTTTTAAATTTGAAAGATAAAAATTATGTTCAATTTGTATTGTAAGCATATTCATGCACAAAAGACTTTGTATTTAAGTTCACAAATATCTTTCCCTGAACTCTTACGAGAAGTGGCAAAACTAGTTGGCTCGATCGACAACCCTCCGCCTAACAGTATTCACAGTAATTTTTTCCTTTATCTCTAATACGTTGATTGAAAGTCATCCCTTTCATGAACATAGTGTTGCAAAATATTAGCAATAAATTACTGTCCATTCTGTAAACACCAAGAAACATTGAAATGGAAACGAGGGGAGATAAAATGAGGGTTGTAGAAAAATGTCAAGAGTAGTGGAGCGCGACAAGACCTCTGCCATTCAGCTCAACCAGTGACTACGTGAATGTACACAGGCATGGAAAGTTTTTGTTGTGTGGTAATTGCATTTAGGTTTTGAAATTTGAGTTGTCGAAACTGCACTGGGGAGAAAACAAAAATAATACTTCCTCGGCATATTACGGGCAGAACGAACGGTTGCAGCGTAAGAGATTACAAGCATAGAGATGCTATAATTTGGACTTAAACTAAGCTTTTGTAGGTCGCTTTCGTTTCATTCGAATTCTCAAAAAAATTCGAGAGGAGTCTGGAAGGGAAGCCGAAAAAATAGAACTTCAATCAGTTTTTAGGCATAAATGATTTCCGTACTTTTACTATGTATGCTATTCACTTTCAGTACTTGTGTTTTAATCTTTTTTTTTCGAAATAGCTGTAGCAGACGTTTTCTCGGGTGGAACAACATATAATTGTCTGTTTTAATGTGGGGTCCGTACCTCGGAAGGACCCTTTCGTGATTTTTTTCTGATACAGGCAGTACGATTGTAGATATTGATAATTGAAACAAAAAGGGGGTAATTCTCTTGGAAGGCCAACGTCAAAGTGATTTAAACAAAGACTCCTTCATTATAAAACCTTGCTATAATTTTGTGTCTTCTCTCTTAAATAAACGTCAAAGAATTTTAAAGAATTTAGGATACAAATTATGGTTTTCAATATAAGCCTTTGAATTATTTATTTAATCAAGATGTTTTCATCATAGGTCGTGATTTATTCTTTGCACCAAATGACCCAAGCTTACACCAAAAGCCATTGGCAAGAACTGACTTTAACCGAACCTGTCTGCGCTAATTTCAAATTTAAGTAATGCGAAAATATCAGCATTTGTTTTGAACGAGGGATAATTCTCTAATGGTTCAACAGAGGGATTGTCAAAATTTTTAATTCGTGATCCCTAAATTTACATAATGTGAAACCTGTCCTAAGATAGCATATGTTACCGTTTATGTTTTGCAGTTGCAAATTCAATTTTTCGTGACAAGAAGAGAAGACTTTGCAATACTTTTTGTTTTTTTTTTTTTAAAAGACATACTATAGGAGTAAAGGTTTCCTGTGAGGCGAGGAAGTCATTAATAATTAATCAACAGAAGTATGCTTAGTAATACAAAAGAGAATTCATCATTATCCTAAACATTCTATAACGGTTAATTAACCCGCCACTCATAACAGAGACAAAATTTGTCGATAATACATCACAATAGAGCCAGGCTTGTGAAAATTACAGAATTATCATTAAACCTGTGGGGAATCAGCGAAGGTTTCCTTCAGCTATATGCAGTTCATCCTAGATTCAATGAATTCTTTTCAGTTATGTATCATGTTGCTTTTCGTGGCTTTGGAGAGGCTTTCGTGGAGTGGCCTCTCAGATGTGGGTAGGAGGATTATGATTTTATTTATCTATTGAGACTTTCACATCTCATACTAATCTCTGATGATAACGATTACTTTTGATAAAAAAAAATAAACCAAACGTTTCGAGAGAAAACCCCTTAGCTCGTGTAAAAAATATTTTCCTTTTCATTTCATTACCCTTTTTAACCGGTTTTGCCAAATAATGATTGAATGTGTGATTTTTTGATAACTTCAGAAATCCAGTGCACCAGTCTTTTAACATTAAGCCTTCTTGTCTCGCAGTGGAGCTCGCTGTCAAGTCATTGCGAAACTTTTTTGTTTAAAAAGAAACCACGTAATGGTATGGTTCATAAAGTCGGTGCCCCAAACGTTCTGAACTACAACGTAGGATTTTAATCGTTACTGTTTCGCTGTCAACTTAACTCGAAACGTTTCTATTTATAAAGAATCCATACAAGAAGCCAGAAACTGTTCTCGATTCTTAGAAATCAATTATTGATAGCTGTCCGGTGTTGTGAATTTTAAATAGTTCCATGCATAACAAAGGAGTTTGAAGGGACAGTTGCCAACAAGGCTCTTCTGAATCACGTGATCAGCACTCCGGTAGCGAAGACAGCAGAGAATTGTGAAATACAATGTTTCATTGAAGTCAAGTGCGAATCATACAACTTTGGTCCAAATGAGGATGGTGATTACTTGTGTGAGCTGAGTGATTCCGATGGCGTTAGAGATCCAGACGACTTGAGGGCACGGCAAGGCTCCCTTTACCGTGCGACAAAGGTATCATGGGTAGGGAATGTAGTGAAAAGTATGAAACGAAAATAGAGAAATTGCTTTTTGATAGAGATGAGTTTCTTGATTTTTGGACCGCGAAATGTTAGCTTAAAACGTCGATCGGAAAAACCTCTTGACGGCGATGGAAATTCCATGTATCAGCTTATCTTCGGATATTATTTCAAGAAAACTCTATAATTTGTCTTTGCTTGCTTCAAGTTGTGGACAATTTTCCACATTCAATTAGAAACTTAAACTAATAAATAAAGAAGTTTATGTCCATCTTTTCTTTCTTTGATACCTTTATTTATGTATAGATCTGTTTGTCTTAACATCTTACGAAAAACCAAAACAAGTTGTTTTTTTTTGTTTAATTTACGCATTATTTTCTTTTGCATTTCATTAAAGAATCCATGTGGTACAGCTCGGTGTCCTCCAAATTCACGATGTTATTCAGATTTTGAACTCGAAACCTACATTTGCGTTTGTTCACCGGGAGTTACTGGAGACAACTGTGAATCAGGTGAATGAGTGTTATAAGTTTGGCATTACCTACTACATAATCCTGTGATCACTTCCTTCTTCGGTTTTCAAATAGAGATTTTTCGAAGAGCTTCATAGAATTTTGAATTAATGAGTAATTAAAACATGGGGAACATTTTATTGAGTCAACGGATCAGTAATGGAGGTAGGTTAATGTTTTGTAGATTTGGGCGAGTGCACATACGGAAAGCATGCCTGTCACGTTGTTTTTTGTTTATTTATTTGTCTATTTCCTACCATTCTACTGTTAAAGAACGAAGAAGCTGCGCCGAACTGCTTCGAGACGGTTGGAATTCCAATGGCATATACACCATCAATCCAGATGGTGGCAATTCAATCCAAGTGTTGTGTGACATGACAACAGACGGTGGAGGTTGGACCGTTGTTCAGAGACGTTTGGACGGCTCGGTTGACTTTTATCTTGGATGGGAATCCTACAAAAACGGCTTTGGAAATCTGAATGGCGAGTTCTGGCTTGGAAACGACAATCTCCACCGTTTCACAACCACTTATGACGTCATGCTGAGAGTTGACCTTGAAGACTTTCATGGCGAGATCACTTACGCTGAGTACACGACTTTTAAGGTGGCAGACGAGGCTGATAAGTATCGACTTTTGATTGGAGGATACAATGGCACCGCTGGCGACTCTATGACATACCATAGGTAAGACAGGTATTCGTGTGAGGTAATGGAGTACACTATACAGAGTACTTGGGCAAGGATAGCCACTACATTGGGTGTGATTAAAAGAAAACAACATCGTATTTTTTTTAATGTAATATTAGATATGTAAAAGTTTTAAATACAGCCAAATTTTAATTAAAATTAAATAAGACTTTCTTGAGCCTTAAAGAAACTATACTGATGATCTTGGAATTGTAGACAATACTTTTTGGCAATACTTTAAAGCTGATGTCTGATAGCAGCGATCAAACCATCCCTTTAAAAATGCTCAATGCTGAGACGAAAGATTGAATCAATATGATCTGCGTTGCATAATAAAATTGCATTCTCATGATTGTAGATCGCTGACTATGAAAAAAAAATTAAAAATTCAGTTGAATACAAAACTAACATCGCCAAAACACGTAGATCTTATTTTTTCACTCTGTATCTGTCCCCGGGTGTCTATCTCTACTGACTTTATGCTATTTATTAAAATAATTTGTATGCGTAGACTAAGTTTCTTATGAACAGTAATCATCTTCCACACGTTTAAACATGATACAGACAAGCTTACGTGAAATTTCATTTCATTTCAGCAATATGCAGTTTTCTACGAATGACCAAGACAATGATCATGGTTTTTATAATTACGTGTCCAACTGCGCCGAACACTACAAGGGAGCTTGGTGGTACAACAACTGCCATAGGTCCAATCTGAATGGATTGTACCACAATGGCTCCGAAGCCTCTTACGGTAAAGGAGTCAACTGGCTCACTTTCCGGGGCTATTACTACTCACTAAAACGCACTGAGATGAAAATAAAATCAAGGGCATAAGAAAATGTTTATGCTGGAGTGAACGACAAGGAAACAATTTGACCTAAAACTTGCACCAAACCTACCTCAGCAAGTAAATACGTTTATATGATGACACCATTAAATTAAATTTTCTTCTACAATGTTATCAAAATCCATGCCGATGAACTAGTGTTTAAGTACAGCCCATAGTTTACATACGTTATCATAATCTTGCTACTAAAATCCTCTTGTGAAATCAATTACTTTACTAAACTTTCTAGAACGTTAGCGCACTACAGAAAAAAGATATACTAATTGTATCAGAGGACAAAATCACAAAAGGGTCAATTAGAACTACGCACGGTACTTTAAGAAGACACCATTCTTGACTAATTGTCGTTCTATAAAACGAATTGCCTCTAACAAGTGATAAATCTATACTAATGGTAGAAGGTGTCCCACGTGTGTTCACTTCAGTGACGCCTCATGCAACAATTCTTAAAAAGACCACATAACATTATACGGAAAGGCAAGGCATTCACAGTAAAACAAATAAAGTAGTCCACGATAATCATATTTTTAATCGAAGTTCTATGTAATTAGCTTCGAAAGCTTCATATATTATCACTCAAAATTTTCAGAAGAATAAAAGACTACTCTAGAATTTTATTATGTATGTCAACAACAAAAAAAGCAGTTTTTAAAGTTGAACAATTTTTTGTAAAGTTCAGTACGAAGTAATAGCCTCCAAGCGCTTGTGACCTATTACATCCCAACCAGTCGTTATACGCCTAACATGCAGCGCAAATATCAATTTTTCTTTTCTTACGTCGATAATTCAAATTTTAAAGTAAATCCTGAAAGCAATTACAACCCAACCAAAAGTGGTTTACCTATGAGCGTCCATGTTGCCACCTGCCGAGCCGTTGGCAAGAACTGAATTTAACCTAACCTGTTTGCGCTTATTTCAAATGTAAGTAATGCGAAAATATCACCATTTGTTTTGAATGAGAGATAATTTGCTTATGGTTCAACAGAAGGATCGCCGAGATTTTTCATTCGTGATCCCTAAATTTATATGGTGTAAAAATTGTGCAAAGATAGCATGGGCTACCGTATATGTTTCGCTGTTGCAAATTCAATTTTTCTATTTCTGTTTTTTTACATAAAGCTTATATTCTTTTACCTTATCAGGATCTCTACTAAGAAAGTGTGATTTGTATAATTTCTGCTTAAATTTAACTGAAGTCAATACACCTTTAGTAAGCCACGGTTTAGCCAATTGTCTCCTTTTACTTTGAGAGGCTTTCTTTAAAGGTGCATGCTTGTCTGCAATTTGCTTGAGTATACTTATACAATTAGCAGTTTCCTCGTGAATATTATTAGATTCATTACTAACATTGATCCAATCGACCGCATCTACATCTCTAATATATTGGTCCACATCAAAGTTACTATAATCACGAAAATAGAATGTTCTCTTATACCTTGATATATGTCGATCAAGCATACAAAACACTGGTAGATAGTCAGAGACATCAACCAGCGCAATACAGGCACCCACACTCGTATTAGAATTTTTGTAAATGTGGTCAAACAGAGTAGAAGTATGATGAGTGAGCTTGGATGGTTTTTTTATTAAAGGTAGTAAATTGTTAGAATCACCTTAATAGAGCATATTTAGGCACTCTTCAGATAATCACAAAGGGTTATTATCTAGATTCGGTGTTTGCCCTCGATTATTGACTGACCGTAACCCTATGCGTATGAAGAATTATAATGATTGACTAATTGTTTCATAGATGGGATGATTAATTGAACAATATTACACTTAATGATTGAGAGATTGGCTAACCAAATTTTGGATTGACTGATAAATTGACTGACTGATTGACAGATTTATTGCTTGTTTAATTGACGGATTAATTAACTGAGTGGTTGCCTTATTGCCTGATTGATTTTCTGATTGATTGACAGACTGATTGATTGCATTATCGTTTGGATGATTTATTTTAGCAATAAGTCTTTCACGACAAAAGATGTGGACAACAACTTGAGCGGTAGGAACTGTTCGCTTTGGTTCAAAGGTGCTTGGTGGTTAAAGCTTTGTCGTCGTTCTAACCTCGACGGCTTATATCATGGAGGATCATTCAATGATTCGTATGCAGATGGTGTCTCTTGGAATTCTATCAGAGGACATTTGTACTCACTGAAACGTACCGAGATGAAAGTAAGGTCTTCAAATTGAAAATAACTAAATGATGCTCAAAGCTGTGTGTGGTATTGGCCCAGGGAACTAGCACTATAAATATGATAGATTGCGAATATCCATCCTGTGGCAAACAGGTGAACGAATTTACAGAACATAAACCACAGCTTTTCACTTGTCGTTTAAGCATTTTTTTTTCACGTAACTTATTTCCAACAATCGAGGAGACGCGGTGGCCTCATGGTTAGTGCACTCGACTCCGGATCGGGTGGTCCGGGTTCGAGCCCTGGCCGGGGTTATTGTATTGTGTTTTTAGGCAAGAGATTTTACTCTCACAGTGCTTCTCTTCACCCAGGGCCCGGTTGTTCAAAACCGCGATTAAACTAATCACCGATTAGGCCTAATCGGCGATTAAATTTCTTAATCGTGGGTTAGTTAATCGTTGGTTAAAAAACGGTTGTTCAAAGGGAGATTACTCGGTCGATTTACTAATCCGCGATTAAGCATAAAATGAATTATATTAATTAATTATAATTTATTTTGTGCCAGTTTACGTCATAAAATTGCCGGAAATTTATTTTTGTCAATATGGCTTCTCCAGCGAAGAAAGTGCGGAAAGCAAACTTTTCACCCGCTGAAATTTCCGTTTTAACGGAAAAATTTGAAGAAAATATGGACATTCTTCAAAGTAAATTTACCAACAGTATAACAAATGCAAAAAAAAACAAGATTTGGGAAGAAATCTCAGAGGCGGTAAACGCCGTAGGTGTGACAGCAAGATCAACGCAGGAAGTACGAGACAAGTGGAAAAACCTCCAGAGTCACGCAAAAAGAGAATTCAGTTCCTTTAAAAGTGAACAGAAGACGACAGGTGGTGGCCCTGCTCCCCCGAACCCATCAGAAGCCAGTTTAAAAATAATAAACATGTTCAGTGACACACCGTCATTTACTGGGTTACAGGGGTTTGAAACAGGTAAGTTTATAAATGGAAACATTATTGTAATACCTCTCAATGTCCATACCTTGCATAAAATGTATACTTCGCTAACAAACACAAGCAAAGTGAAAATTAACGGACTTTAGACTTTTGTTTCTTTCTTATTTTCTTTTACATGTACTCCCATGTAAACAAAAAAACAAATGGCGCCGAAAAGTCTGCCTCGGCCCACTCTTCTCTTCTCGGCTTCAAATACAATCTTCGGCCAACTCTAATCAATTAAATATGGCTGCCTTTTAGAAAGGCAGTCAAGTGCAGTTCAAAACACTGCATTTCAACAGATTGTGGTGCTTCGTTATCTAATAAGACTGGCTGGTCCGTAGGTCCAGAAACTCTTGTCCTCGAGGTGGTGTCGAGCGAGGCCTCTGCCGATGAGACCCCTAATTCTGTTGCTGAGAAGCCCGACGAGTTAATAAGCAAACACACACAACTCCTTTCCAAAGCGATACCTTGCTCTTAATTCTTCGTCTGTATATCCATCTATCGTGAAACCGATGCTCCTAAACTCTCTTTGCTTCCTTTTTCTTCGCCCATCAACACCAACACAAACATACAAATGGGTACCAGCAAATGTGCTGGGGGTAACCCTGCAATGGACTCCTAGCCGCTTCATGCTAAGAAAACCGGAGTTAAGCACCCGCCCCGCCACTTGGGCCCGTATAAAGGCTTTTTGTTTCCAATAAACATCGTAAAGATGAAACAAGGACATTCAGTTTTCCTTACCTAGTTACAGCCTGTAATTGTTCTCGTCTTATCATATGATGTGAAGTGAAATAGCTGAAAACTGGTACTGCTGTACCAACCACGAAAAAAGTTACTCAGAACGGGTATTTTAAAATCACTTTAAGAAAGTTTGAGAAGCACTTGAGAAATACACGCCCACTTAAAACCCCTTTTATTTGAACTGCAGAATAATTAATATAAAGGGAATCAAGATAGGTAATTGAAGGGACTTTTTCTTCACAGACTGCTTGTAAGGAGGACAGTTTTCAACGTGGCAAAAAAGGAATCTGCACTCCTAACTATAGGATATAGTTCTTAAGTTACAATTTTGAAGGAAGGTACTGCAATCTTCTCTCTGTTTTCAACAACATGGTTTTCCTGTAGAAGACGAAAAACCCAGACAAACATATTCTGCGACGGGATTTACCAACTTTCTTTCTGGCTGCGTTAGTTTTTGAACTCTAACAATTAAATTTTAATGAGATATGCTACGTTGATTAATATAGTAACTAGATAGGTGAATGACTCATCATCTCAAAAAGGCTCTGCCGCGTTTTGAAAAATTCCTCTAGCTTTCATTCATCTCCTCCTCGCCTCCATTTCAAGGTTGCTTGTTATTTACAGAATGGTCAGTAGTTCTCGCTTATATCGCCTATATCGCTTATATCGTTTGGTAGACGAGGCTGATAAGTACCGGTTTTTGATTGAAGGATAACATGGCACGGTTGGTGATTCTTTTCGCTGAGGTAAATGAAATCTGTAAAATGAGGTATGATTGAGTACCTTATTTTATCAGTTCCCGATCATGATTAAATTTATTAATTCAATAGCCAAAAAGCTGCACCGAAGTCCTTCGAAACGGCTGGAATTCCAGTGGCGTATAAAACATCAATCCAGATGGTGGCAGCCCAATCCAAGTGTTGTGTGACATGATTACTGATGGTGGAGGTTGAACCGTTTTTCAGGGACGTTTGAACAGCTCTGTTGGCTTGATGATTATCCCACAAAAATGGCTTTGGAAATTTGAGCAGCGAGTTCTGGCTTGGAAACGACATGTCATGTTCAGAAATGATCTTGAAGATTTTAAAGGGAATATCAAATATACTGAAGACGAGACCTTTCGGGTGGCAGACAAGGCAGAAAAGTCCCGGCTTTTTATTTGAGGATACAATTATGATACTTCGGGTGACTCGATGAGGAATGGCAAAATTGAGACTGACTTCTGACTTGAGGGTTGAAAATTATGAAATAATTTCCTAAGCTTTAAGTTTACCATTTGTTGCAATCGTTGCTTCTCCTATAATTAATTGATCATTTTCTTTTAGTGGCGTTGAGTTTTCCACGAAAAAAGAGAGAACGACAAGAATGAAACAGCTGCGCCCAGGAGTATAATGGAGGTTGGTGGTACAGTAACAGTAGATGCCAGGGAAGCAATTTCAGTGATCTTTATCTTCGTGGTGAACATTCTACGTTTGCGAATGGAGTCAACTGGTTCAAGTGGAGGGGATTTCACTGCTTCACCGCGATTCTAAGCCTTAATTCTTGTTTTTCTGTGTGTGAGTTCTAAGCTCTTTAGACACTCTCCGCTGTTTTTATTAGACTTCGAAATTTGAATAATAAAAACTATGTTTAATTTGCATTGGAAACATAGTCATGCTCAAAAAGCTTTGTATTTAAGTCTATAAATATCTTACCCCTAACACTTACGAGGAGTGGCAAAACTGATTGGTTCGTCTCCCTTTTATAGAAGGTGGTAGATTGATAACCCTTCCACTTAACATAACACACAGTAATTTTTTCAGTTATCTCTATTAAGTTATTTGAAAGTATCCCCTTTCACCCACATAATGTTGCAAAACATTGACAAAAAATTACTGTTCATTCTACAAACACCAAGCAACATTGAAATACGGGCGAGAAAAATTTCAACGGTAGTGTAGCGTGACAAGACCTCTCCTATTCAGCTCAAGCAGTGACTAGATGAATGTTCACAGGTATAGCAACTTTTGATTGTGCGTTGATTGCATTTAAAAATAATAAAAAATAATACTTGCTCGGCGTATTACAGGCAGAACGAATGGTTTCAGCGTAAGAGATTACAAGCATAGAGATGCTATAATTTAGACTTAAACTAAACTTTCGCAGGTCACTTTTGTTTCATTCGAATTCTCAAAAAAATTCTGAGGAGTCTGGAAGCCGAAAAAAAAGAACTTCGATCGGATTTCAGGGATAAATGATTTCCGTAAACTCATTTTTTTTTCGTACTTTTACTATGTATGCTCTTCACGTTCAGTACTTGTGTTTTCAGATCTTTTTTTCTTTTTTTTTTTTCGAAATAGCTTTATCAGACATTTTTCTGAGGTGGAATAACAAATAATTGAGGATGTGTCTTTTTAATGTGGGGTCCGTACCTCGGGAGGACCCTTAGTTGATTTTTTTCTGACAGCTAGTAGAACTGTAGATATTGATAATTGAAATAAAAAATGGGTAACTCTTTTGGAAGGCCAAGGTCAAAGTGGTTTAAGCAAAGACTCCTTCATTATTAAATCTTGCTATAATTTTGTATCTTCTCTCTTAAATAAACATCAAAGAATTTTAAAGAATTTTCGATACAAATTATGGTTTTCAATCTAAGCCTTTGAATTATTTATTAAATCAAGATGTTTTCATTATAGGTCGGGAGTTATTCTTTGCGCCAAATGACCCAAGCTTACACCGTAAGCCATTGGCAAGAACTGACTTTAACCTAACCTGTCTGCGCTTCTTTCAAATTTATGTAATTCGAAAATATCAGCATTTGTTTTAAATGAGAGATAATTCTCTAATGGTTCATCAGAGGGATTGTCGAGATTCTTCATTCGTGATCCCTAAATTTACATAATGTGAAAATTGTGCTAAGATAGCATGGGTAAACGTTTTTGGTTTTCCGTTGCAAATTAAATTTTTCGTGACAAGAGAAGACTTTCAAATATTTTTGTTTCTTTTATTTTTCAAAGACCTTGTTCTCCTGTGAGGCGAGGAGGTCATTAATAATTAATCAACAGAAATATGCTTGTCAATACAAAAGAGAATTCATCATTATCCTAAACATTCTATAAATGTAAATTAACCCGCCACTCATAACACAGACAAAATTTGTCGGTAATGCATCACAATAGAGCCAGCCTTGTCAAAATGACAGAATTATCATTGTATTCCCTGTAGGGAATCAAAGCGAAGGTTTCCTTCAGCTACTTGCAGTTCACCCTAGATTCAATGAATTGTTTTCAGTCATGCATCATGTTTCTTTTCGTGGTTTTGGAGAGGCTTTCATGTAGTGGCCTCTCAGATGTAGGTAGGAGGATTATGATTGTATTTTTCCACACATTTTCTTATTTCCATAGATCCAGTTAAGACGACGATAATTTCCCATTTATCGAAAGATAAGAACAGGTTTTAAATTTTAGTCCCGATAAAATAATGGCAACTATTTATCTAATCTCAATCTCAATCTCAATCTAATCTCTGATGTAACGATTACTATTGATAAAAAAAAACAAATGTTTCGAGAGCAAAGCCCTTAGCTCGAATAAAAAATATTTTCTTTTTCGTTTCATTACATTTGCTAACCGGCTTTTGCCAAATTATGATTAAACGTGTGATTTTTTGATAACTTGAGAAATCCAGTACACCAGTGTTTTTACATTAAGCCATCTTGTCTCGCAGTGGAGCTCGCTGTCAAGTCATTGCGAACTTTTTTGTTTAGAGAGAAACCACGTTATAGTATGGCTCATAAAGTCTGTGCCCCAAATGTTCCGAACTACAACGTGGGCATTTGATCATTATTGTCTCGCTGTCAACTAAAATCGAAACGTTTCTACTTATAAAGACTCCATACAAGAAACCAGAAATTGTTCGCGATTCTTAGAAATAAATAATTGATAGTTGTTCGGTGTTGTGAATCTTAAATAGTTCCATGCATAACAAAGGAGTTTGAAGAGAAAGTTGCAAACAAGGCTCTTCTAAATCACGTGATCAGCACACCGATAGCAAAGACAGCAGAGAGTTGTGAAATACAATGTTTCATTGAAGTCAAGTGTGAATCATACAACTTTGGACCAAATGACAATGGTGATTACTTGTGCGAGCTGAGTGCCTCCGATGGTGTTAGAGATCCAGATGACTTGAGGGCAAGACAAGACTTCCTTCACCGTGCAACAAAGGTATCATGGGGAGGGGGTGTAGTGAAAAGCATAACATGAAAATAGAGAAATCGCTTTTTGATAATTGAGAGATGAATTTCGTAATTTTTGGACCACGAAATGTTGGCTCAAAACGTCGCAAAACTCGGAAAAACCTCTTGACGGCGATGGAAATTCCATCTAATAGCTAACCTTCTGATATTACATCAAGAAAACTCTATAATTTGTCGTTGCCTGTTTCAAGCTGTGAAACTTGGTTCAAAGAGTTATTTATGGTCATATTGAAGCGCCTGCATGTGGAGAGCCGATTGGGCAAGGTTACGTTATGTAAATTTGGTAGCTGTGAGAGATATTGCTAAAATGTTTAATCTGCCAAGGGTTGCGTGTACGATGATATTTGGACCATGTTCCACATCCAATTAGAAACTTAAACCAATTAGTAAAGAAGTTTGTGTCATCTTTTCTTTCTTACATACCTTTATTCATGTAGCGATCTGTTTGCCTTCTGAATATCTTTCGAAAAACCAAAACAAGTTGGTTCTTTTCGTTTAATCTACGCATTATTTTCTTTTGCATTCTATTAAAGAATCCATGTGCTACCGCTCAATGTCCTCCAAACTCACGATGTTATTCAGATTTTGAACACGAAACCTATCTCTGCGTTTGCTCACCGGGATTTACCGGAGACAAGTGTGAATCAGGTGAATGAGTGTAATAAGTTTAGCATTACCTACTTCATGATGCTGTGATCACTTTCTTCTGCGGTTTTGAGAGAGATCAGAAATGGAGGTAGGTTAATATTTTGTAGATTTGGACGAGTGCACAGACGGAAAGCATGCCTGTCACGTGAACGCCATATGTAACAATTCTGAAGGGTCATACAGCTGCCTGTGCAAGGATGGATATAAAGGCGATGGGTTTCTATGTGAAGGTGAATATTTAGCGAGTTTTGTTCCAGTTGGAATATAAAGTGATATCTACCCTAATAGGTAAAATATTTCTTTGAATAAAAGTAGCTGCAGTGAGATAGAGGAGCCCCTGCGATTGTATTGAGTAGTGCCACTCTTTCTTGGGAAAAATTCAGCGAGACATCTTGGTGCCGAGCAGTTAGGCACTTTAAACAACTCCCGACATTTTGAGCTAACTCTCTGACTGTTTAAGGTTTCCTAGCCTAAGGAACTAAGAGCCTTGTGAATATTGTTGCTCACATGCATGAGTCTGGCAGACCTATTTCGCTACTTTTTTACTATGTCAGAGTAGCCTTTTCCAATGGTGTCACAGACCTTACAGCAGTTATTGAAATGTGGTTTGACTAGAGCATTGTGGATAGAGTGGCTATGTCTACTAAATCCCAAATCTGCCTCAAGCCTCCTATTTCCGAACTGGTTTCAATTGGCTCTTAAAGTGTCTAATTCACAAAATTACCGTAGCCTGATACATTTACAACTTTGACTTGGCGGCAAATAAAAAAATGAAAATAAATGAGGTGGTATCGTTTGTTTGTTTGTTTTTAATTGTTTGTAATTGTTTTGGTTTTTGTTGCTACCATTGTACTGTTATAGAACGAAAAAGCTGCGCCGAACTGCTTCGAGACGGTTGGAATTCCAGTGGCGTATATACCATCAATCCAGATGGTGACAATTCGATCCAAGTGTTATGTGACATGACAATGGAAGGTGGAGGTTGGACTGTTTTTCAGAAACGTTTGGACGGCTCTGTTAACTTCTATCGTGGATGGGAATCCTACAAAAACGGCTTTGGAAGTCTGAGTGGCGAGTTCTGGCTTGGAAACGACAATATACATCGTTTGACAGACTCTGAAGACGTCATATTGAGAGTTGACCTGGAAGACTTTGAAGGCAACATCACCTACGCTGAGTACACGACTTTTAAGGTGGCAGACGAGGCCGACAAGTACCGGCTTTTGATTGGAGGATACAAGGGTACTGCTGGTGACTCTATGGCAGAGGGACTTTCCCTAAGGTAAATGAAATCGGAATCACAAAGTGCAAAAGGGATATTATCTAGATTAGGTGTTTGCCCGCGATTACTGACTGACCCTAATCGTATGAGTATGAAGAATTGATATATCGATTGACAAATTGTTCACTAGGGCGGATGATTAGTTGAAACAATATTAGACTTAATGATTCAGAGACTGACTGAATACATTTTTGATTTACTGAAAAATTGACAGATTAATTGACTTATTAACTAAATGACCGATCGATTAACGGAGTGATTGACTTATTGCCTGATTGATTTTCTGATCGATTGACGGATTGATTGATTGCCTAATAATTAATAAATGATTTATTATAGCAATATGTCGTTTACAACGAAAGATGTGGACAACGACTTGAGCGGTCAGAACTGTGCACTGTTGTTCCAAGGAGCTTGGTGGTACAACGATTGTCATTATTCAAACCTCAACGGCTTATATCGTGGAGGATCATTCAGTGATTCGCCTGCAAATGGTGTCTCTTGGAATTCTTTCAGAGGAGCTTGGTACTCCCTGAAACGTACCGAGATGAAAATGAGGCCTTCAAATTGAAAATAACTAAATGCTGCTCGACGTTCTGGTTAACAGTTTCACTGTGGATTACCATCACAGATATGGAACATTTATAATTAAAGCTAACAGCTAACAGTAGTTAATGTTAAGAGAAGTAGGTCTTGAATATGTCTAATCTGAAAGTCAATTTGGTTTCGTAAATCAGTGAAAGGCTAATTTAGGGCCCTCAATGTTTGAAGAGAAAATCAGTTTTTTAGATGTGCCACACCTCTCTTACCTTTAGTAAAATTCCACTCTTTTATTGAAAATGAATGCCGTGCATTTGTGTTTAGTCGTGATAATTTATGCCAAAATATTAAGTTTAAGAGATAGAAATTATATGTAAGGTATGTTTAAAGACTGAAATTACGGTTTGGAACAAAAGCGTTGGTCAATGAAGATTTGATGTAAATAATTTCATGTAAAAGGGTGATATAGGTGGTAATATTAAAGAGACCAAGAGAGACGAAGAGCCTCCTGAAGAAACAAAAAGCTTAAACAAAACAAAAAATGCTTCACTCACAGCTTTACCACAGCTTCACTTGGTTTCAGGTTACGCACACTACAGGGCACTGCTCGATAAGCTCTCAAGAAAGATCCGCAAGCGATGATTTTCTTCAGCAACCCCTTGTGTTTGGCCCAAATACCCATCCTGTGACCAGTAGGTGAACGACTTCACAGAACATAAAACACCGCTTTGCAATTGTCATTTATTTCCAATAAACACCGTAAAGATGAAACAAGGACGTTCAGTCTCCCTTACTACCTACAGCCGGTAACTTTTCTCGTCGTATCATATGATGTGAAGTAAAATAGCTGAAAGCCAGTCATTTCTTATTTTGGATGACATGGTACAAACTTGATGTAAATTTCTTTAATGCAATTTAAAGCTTTTATAAAGAAGATGAAGACAAGTCAAGTGTACATATTGTTATTTATATTTTAGTAAGCTGCACTCGAGTGTAAAGTTCATCGTTTACTTGCCTTACGTATTGTTTGCGTAACCTTTTAAAGAAAAACGAAAAATGGCTTTGCAGCTGCAAATCTGGTTCACGTTCGACTTCTACATGCACGATGTACTAAGGCTATTTACATTGACCGACTACACTCGTGAGTATAATAAAGTATAAATACGAAAGTAATTAAGTCCAACGAAATGTATCTCGGTTGGTCCAGAGTCCAGTTGCTATATTTAGATCCCTGGTCGGTGGAAACAGACCATTTCCTCTTTCCTGTTATACAAGCAAGTTTTATGAGTTTAGTTTCCCAACATAGTTCGTTTAGCCAAGCAGTTAATCACAGTTAATCGCCTAAAATAGTGTAAATTTACCTTCTCAGTCGAAAAGATATCGCCACAGTAGAGTAGAAGAATACTTTCCTTGCCACAGTTCTCTTCAGATTTTTCTTGATTGTTTTCTGACTGAAAGGGAAAACCTACAAAATTTGAAAGGTTCACCTCAAAGCTATCAACACTTAATGAATAATGACATAATTCTTCTAAGGGATTCGGGTAATTAAAAATTTTCGAAAGCGTAACCTATGTTTGCATCACGTCGCACCTTTTGTAGTTTTCCGACGTATTTCGTTGATTTAACCTTTGATACCTTTCCACTCTTCTTGAAATTACGAACTGAATCACTTAGGTGGCAAAACGTATATCAAGACTACTATTTCAATTACGTTTCTGTTTGTTAAGCTGCTTTCATAGAAAGTAAACAAATTTGTTTCACGCTTCATTTAGACTCACTGTACTGAGAAAGATATAAATGAATCCTCGTCACGGGAAAATAGGGTTGACCTGAAAAAATAGGAACATTCCAACCTGGTGCAATCTAGAAATAAATTTAACACTTATATAGTTGAAAAAAACTATATTGTATTGCGTGCGATGCTTTAAATCGGACAATATTTTTGCACCTGCTAGTATATTTAAGCAATAGAAATTTAAAAACATGCGTTTCTTTCTCTTCCTCTCAAACTTCTGACAGTGAAGACTACACATGCATCTCTGCTTAATATTTCTTCTTTGTGCTGTTGTGTACGGCGTAAGCCGTTTTTCAAAGTCAAATCTGAAGGCTGTTAACTTTGCCGAAAATGTAAGAGGAAAAAAGCTAAACGGAAGCCTAATAAGAGAGGTGGAGGTAGATTCGGAAAGTTCTTGTTAGTTAGAGTGTGTGGAGGAAGAGCGATGTCAGTCTTACAACTTTGCAACCATAATGGGCCACTCAAAGAAAATCAAGTGTCAACTAAGCGGCTCTGATCGATTAGCTGGACTCGTTAGCTTCACGGAAGATAAAGATTTCATTTACAGAGAAATAAAGGTAATTAATTACAATAAACTTGTTGCGATCGTTCTACTCCAACGATGATTATTGTCCAGTAAAATAACCTTATTATCTAAATGTTACCGTCAACAAAATCATTTGGCAGCCTCAGCGGGGTAGATGAATTTACGTTTGATAAAACGAGGTCCAAAAATTTATTGGAAAAAAAAAAAGAAAGGAAAAGTGGGCAAAGTAAAGTAGAGAAAAGGACAACTCTACCTTCAATTATTTTGGACCGGGCTTTCTTGTAGATTCTGCCCCAAGGCGACTCCTCTCGTTTACGCCGTTTGATAAATAGAGAATAATACATGGGCGCACGATATGGAATAGCTCACGAGTGAGCGCAGCGAACGAGTGAGTTGTCGAGTTGCACACGAGAAGAGAAATTCCATATCTAAAAGCAACCATGTATTGTTTTGTTTATCATATAAACACAATAGCCCTTTACTGAGGAGAAAAGCCGACTTCATTAATGAATGAAAATAAATGAATCGAAAGTTCGTAGAGTGCGTTGGCGCTAACTCTAAGATGGAAAAATGCGTTGAATCATGATTAAAAAAACAACAATGGTCGTAATTTTCAATTTAAAAAATTATCGTTTATTGACTTTGTCCTTAACGTCAGAAGAAGTCTTTCAGGTAAACGGCCAAAATCGGCTTGTGGCAAATCTTCCAGTTGTCGATTTTCATTCTCAGCCGAGAGAAATGCTAACACCAAAGCCACTGAATACGTAACTTTGGGGATTTTCTTTTGGTATATTGGTTTTCTTCCCCTTCTAGGAAAGTTTGAACCTCATTGTCTGTCAGCGATACGGATTTTTTGGTGTTTTAGCCGCCATAATTCGAGAAAGCTCCGGCAAACAATTTGTATTGAGAATCGTGAATCGCTTTGCCATTAATTCATCAACCTGACCGAGTGGTGCCAAAGGCCAAACAGCTGATTGGCTATATTAACACACGTAAAAAAAACTACGATATTTTTTCACGTGTGTTCTTAACCCTCATCCTTAGTCAAATTGTCAAATCCAGAAAATCGATCAGAGCACTCAGCTGACACTTGAATTTCTCTGGGTACACCTTTATAGTTCTAAATTTGTAAGGCAGACATCGTTCTTCATCCACACAAGCCGACTGACAAAAGCTTTTCGAATACACTTCTGTTTCTCTTATCACGGTCGTTTACTTGTGCCATTTTCGGACATGACGATTTGCTCATCGCTGATCTTAGCTTAATGCGTGTCAGATGTGAAAATGTTAACGACCTAGCCCATGATAGAGAGTTTTAGGCTCAGTGGTAGAGCTTCGGAGCGCGGAATCCGGTTGGAGATTCGATTTTTCACGGAGGACTCAGAATTTCTGCTTTTTCGTTTGTCCGTGACAAGAAGAGAAAACTTCAAAATATTTTTTTATTTTGTTTTTCAAAGACCTGGTATGGGAGTAAAGTTCTCCATTGGGGTGAGGAGGTCATCAAAAATTAATTAGCAGAAATATTATTGTTAATGCAAAAGAGAATTCATCAATATCGTAAACATTATTTAAATGAAAATTAACACGCCACTCATAAAACAGACAAAATTTGTCGGTGATGCATTACAATAGGGCCAGCCTTTTGGCAATAACAGAATAATCGTTGAACCTGTGGGGCTTCAAAGACGGTTTATCTTCAGTTACTTGCAGTTCATCCTAGATTCCATGAACTGTTTTCAGTTATGTATCATGTTTCTTTTCGTGGTTTTAGAGAGGCTTTTGTTGAGTGGCCTCTCAGATGTAGGTAAGAGGATTATGATTTAATTTTCCACACAATTTCTTATTTCTATAGATTTAGTTAATTATTTCATAATTTTTATTCATTGAAAGATAAATGCAGGTTTTAGATTTTTAGTTCAATTTAAATAATGGCAACTGTTTGCTAAACTATACTGTTTTTCGTCACCTATTTTGACTTTTACATCTCAATCTAAACTTTCATGATAACGATTGCTTTTTATCAAAAAAAGTTTCGAAAGCAAAGCCCATGGCTCAAATAAAAAAATATCTTTGTTTCTTTTTATTTCATCACCCTTTCTAGCCGGTGTTTGCCAAATTACGATTGAATATGTGATCTTTTGATAACTTCACAAAGTCGGTGCACCAGTCTTTTATATTAAGCCTTCATGTCTCGCAGTGGAGCTCGCTGTCAAGTCATTGCGAAACTTTTTCATTTATAAAGAGAATATAAAATAGTATGGCTTATAAAGTCGGTGCCCCAAATGTTCCGAGCTGCAATGTGGGGTTTTAATCTTTATTATCTCGCTGTTAACTAAAATCGAAACGTTCTTTTTATGACGAATCCATACTAGAAACCAGAAGTTGTTTGCAATTCCTAGAAATCAATAATTTATAGTTGTTCGGTGTTGTTAAATTTAAATAGTTCCATGCATAACAAAGGAGTTTGAAGAGCCAGTAGCAAACAAGGCTCTCCTGAATCACGTGATCAGCACACCGAGAGCAAAGACCGCAGAGAGTTGTGAAATACAATGTTTCATCGAAGTCAAGTGTGAATCATACAACTTTGGTCCAAATGAGAATGGTGATTACTTGTGCGAGCTGAGTGATTCCGATGGTGTTAGAGATCCAGATGACTTGAGGGCACGACAAGACTTCCTTCACCGTGCAACAAAGGTATCATGGGGAGGGGGTGTAGTGAAAAGCATAACATGAAAATAGACATATCGCTTTTTGATAATTGAGAGATGAATCTCGTGATTTTTGGACCACGAAATGTTGGCTCAAAACGTCGCAAAACTCGGAAAAACCTCTTGACGGCGATGGAAATTCCATCTAATAGCTAACCTTCTGATATTACATCAAGAAAACTCTATAATTTGTCGTTGCCCGCTTCAAGCTGTGAAACTTGGTTCAAAGAGTGATTCATGGTCATATTGAAGCGCCTGCGTATGGACAGCCGATTGGGCAAGGTTACGTTATGTAAATTTGGTAGCTGTGAGAGATATTGCTAAAATGTTTAATCTGCCAAGGGTTGCGTGTACGATGATATTTGGACAATTTTCCACATTCAATTAGAAACTTAAACCAATCAATAAAGAAGTTTATGTCCATCTTTTCTTTCTTTGATACCTTTATTCATGTAAAGATCTGTTTGGCTTCTGAATATCTTTCGAAAAACCAAAACAAGTTGTTTCTTTTCGTTTAATCTACGCATTATTTTCTTTTGCATTCTATTAAAGAATCCATGTGCTACCGCTCAGTGTCCTCCAAACTCACGATGTTATTCAGATTTTGAACACGAAACCTATCTCTGCGTTTGCTCACCGGGATTTACCGGAGACAAGTGTGAATCAGGTGAATGCGTGTAATAAGTTTAGCATTACCTACCTTCATGATATTTATGAGAGAGATCAGAAATGGAGGTAGGTTAATATTTTGTATAATTTGTCGTTGCCCGCTGTGCAAGGATGGAAATGGGTTTGGTTCTAATAGGTAAAATATTTCTTTGAATAAAAGTAGCTGCAGTGAGATAGAGGAACCCCTGCGATTTATGGTCTATTTCTTGGGAAAAATTCAGCGAGACATCTTGGTGCCGAGCAGTTAGGCACTTAAACAACTCCCGACATTTTGAGCTAACTCTCTGACTGTTTAAGGTTTCCTAGCTAAGGAACTAAGAGCCTTGTGAGTATTGTTGCTCACATGCATGAGTCTGGCAGACCTATTTTGCTACTTTTTTACTATGTCAGAGTAGCCTTTTCCGATGGTGTCACAGAGATGGATAGAGTTTAGAGAGTGGCTATGTCTACTAAATCCCAAATCTGCCTCGAGCTTCCTATTTCCGAACTGGTTTCAATTGGCTCTTAAAGTGTTCAGCTCTGTCTTTTATGAATGTCTAATTCACAAAATTACCGTGGTTTTTTCCTACCATTGTACTGTTATAGAACGAAAAAGCTGCGCCGAACTGCTTCGAGACGGTTGGAATTCCAGTGGCGTATATACCATCAATCCAGATGGTGGCGATTCGATACAAGTGTTGTGTGACATGACAACGGAAGGTGGAGGTTGGACTGTTTTTCAGAGACGTTTGGACGGCTCTGTTGACTTCTATCGTGGATGGGAATCCTACAAAAACGGCTTTGGAAATCTGAGTGGCGAGTTCTGGCTTGGAAACGACAATATACATCGTTTGACAGACTCTGATGACGTCATGCTCAGAGTTGACTTGGAAGACTTTGAAGGGAACATCACCTACGCTGAGTACACGACTTTTAAGGTGGCAGACGAGGCCGACAAGTACCGGCTTTTGATTAGAGGATACAATGGTACTGCTGGTGACTCTATGGCTGAGGGATATTCCGTAAGGTAAATGAAAAGTGCAAAAAGAATATTATCTAGATTCGGTGTTTGCTTTCGAATAGTAGCTGACCCTAACCCTATGGCTTTCGATTGGAGGATATAATGGAAGGGCTGGTGACGCTATTACTGCAATGCTACATCCATTGCAGTAAGAAACCCTCAATTACCAGTTTCCACTGACGAAGGGCTAACGTCAGCTTTGTAAATATTTACGGTGGCCAATTTACATTATCAAGTCCGTTGATAAAACCAAAATTACGTCAATTACTAGGTTTATTATGAATTTGATATTGAAATTTTAAGCATAATCCCCAAAGAATGGATGTCATAAAGAAAGGCTGGAGACTCAATGAAATTGTATTCAAAGAACGGAGATGATTCATTACCGGCTGAGGGGAAGCACGTTGTGATTAATGGGTCATTAGTATACTGACACCGAACGAAACTGAAAATCTTACAGGCTTTGATTGGATTTCAAACTTGAAGCCGGATGTTACATTCGCACAAAAACGTTAAGTGGTGTTTAAATTTTTGGTCGACGACTGAAAAAAAAATTGCGCAGCCATCAGCTTATTTCAATCTCTCTTGAGTTCTATTTGGTTGTCTGGTTGCTACTCCTACAATCATCAGGGAAACTCCAGTTTCCTTAAAACCACAACTGAGATTACGGTGTTTTTTTTCCAATTTCAAGATATGTCATAGGAAAAAAAACCATACGGCTGTTAAAAATTTTTACGGTTGGAATAACGAGGTTTAGAAAGCCAGTTAAAAGCTGAAATATAGAAAGAACGAAATAAAGAATCTATTACAATCAGTGTATGCTGATGTTAAAGTTGCAATCAACTGGCAAACCAAGTTGGCAAGTTGGCTGTAGGATCTTGGATTGTCTATCTGTTTGTCTACTTGCATGTTTATCTCTCCTGTCCTTATGGGAATTTATCCACATAACTTCATACGACTAAGTTGCATAGTTTTTAATAGAAAAGAATCTCTACGTATTCAAGTATGTTAGGAACGAGCTTAAACGAACTTTTTTTCATTTCAGCAATATGCAGTTTTCTACAAAAGATCAAGACAATGATTATCGTAATGACCTACCCAGCTGCGCCCAACGTTTTAAGGGAGCCTGGTGGTACAGAAATTGCCATTGGTCCAATCTGAACGGATTGTACCTCAGTGGTCCCCATGCCACTTTTGCTGATGGAGTCAATTGGTACACCTTTAGGGGGCCTCGTTACTCACTAAAACGTACCGTGATGAAAGTAAAAACGAAGGCATAAGGTGATGTCTGTGCAAGAGTGAACGAAAAGGAAACAATTTGAACTTAAACCCGCGCTAAACCTACCTCAGCAAGTAAATACGTAGTATTAAATTGAACTGATTTTTCTTTGATAGCTTTTAATACAAATTATACCGACGAAGCAAAGATTAAGTGTAGCCGTATGTAAAAGTTTTTTATGAGTTTAATCATATAGGAACCTTTGGACTACAACTTCGATTAGGAGTTGAAAATTGCAACCAGGATTCTACATGCGCCATTTACATTGAAAATTTATATTGACTTGCATTCGAGAGGATTGCGAAGCATTAAAGACGAGTGAGAGCAAGTCCCCTAATTCATTGTTCGCTTAACAGTTAGAATACTAAAAAAAAAGGCTAAAAATTTGGCGTATATTGTCATGAGAGATTTGTAACCAAAATCCTCCAAACAGCTTTAATCTGATAATTTCCATTGATTTGTGTTTCATTCTTCGGAAGTGGTAGAGGCATTAAAGACGAGAAAACTAAGTCCGAAGTTAAATAACCGTTATCTCTGGTATATGGAAATTTGTAAAGAGGAGCTGCCCTCCCATCAGACCAAGCGAATTTTCTGAGTTCCGTTCCCTTATATTGTCCATTCAGTCAATCACTTCACATTTGATCACACAGCAAATTACAGGGAAATTTTACCGTCCCGGCCGAAAACGTATCGTTGTAATAGTGAAGAAACAGAAACTTTTGGACTGCTAGACAATGTCATTGAAATTGAAACCGATGAACTTGTGTTTAAGTACAGTCCATATTTTATATACGTTATCATAATCTTAGTCCTAAAATCCTATTGTGAAATCAATTACTTTACCAAACATTCTAGAACGTTGGCGCACTGCGGAAATAGATATACTAAATGTATCAGAGGACAAAATCACAAAAGGGTCGATTAAAAGTACAAACGCTACATTAAAAAGACGCTTTTCTTGACTAATTGTCGCTCTATAAAACGACTTGCCTCTAGAAAGTAATAAATCTATGCTAATGGTAGAGGGTGTGGCAGGTGTGTCCACTTCAGTGACGTCTCATGCAACAATTCTAAAAAAGACCGCATAACAATGTACGGAACGGTAAGGGTATTCACAGTAAAACAAATAAAGTAGTCCACGATAATCATATTTATGATCCAAGTTCTATGTAATTAGCTTCAAAAGCTTTATATGTTATCACTCAAACTTTTCAGAAGAATAAAAGGCTGATCTAGAATTTTATTATGTATTCCAACAAAACAAAAAGCAGTTTTTAAAGTGAAACTATTTTTTTAGGTTCAGGACAATGTAATACTGTAGCCTCCAAGTGCTTGTGACCTCTTACGCCCAAACCAGTCGTTCTGCGCCTACCATGTAGTGCAAGTATTAATTTTCGTTTTCTTACGTTGATAATCTAAATTTCAATGTAAATACTAAAAGTTGCTTTACCTATGAACGTCGGTGTTGCCATCCGCCGGACCGCTTTATCCTCCAATTAAAGGCTGTAAACATAAAGTCGAAAGCGTAAGCGATTTTTCCTACAAAGTCTTCCAGGTCAACAATCAAGATAATGTCAAACGGCGAAAATTGTCGTTCCCAAGCTAGAACTCGTAACTGAGATTTCCAAATCCGTATTTGCAGCAGTCCCATCCAAGATAAAAGATAACCTTAATTATCAGAGTTGACGCCATACAACCCTTGCACTAGGGTGCCACCATTCAGATTGATGGTGCACAAGTGCACGCCACAAAAATTTAACCATTCTAAAGCAGCTGGGCTCAACTTTTTGTATATGTGGAGTACCAAGGTAAATTCATGGAAAGCACTTTGTCTTATCTCACTGCCACTTTCTTCTAAAGTTATGTTTTTGAAGAAAGGTACTGAAAGGTACTCCTCTCTGTTTTCAATAACATGGTTTTCCGGTGCAAGACGAAAAACCCAGACAAACGTATTGTGTTAGGGTATTTAACGACTACATCGTTTAGCTGCGTTGGATTTTTACGTAAGACATACTATGGTGATTAATATCGTAACTAGTTAGGTGAATGACTCATCTTAGAAAAGCTTTACAACGTTTTGAAAATTTTCTCAAGCTTTCATTCATCTCCCCCGTCGTCTCCTATTCAAGGTTGTTTTGCGTTGACGGAATTTTCAGTAGTTTCTTGCTAATAACGCTTATGTTGTTATGATAAGACATGACATGGAAACTTTGATAAGAACGCCAAGTACGCCGAGTACACGACTTTTAAGGTGGCAGATGAGGCTGATAAGTGCCGAATTTTGATTGGAGGATAACATGGCACGGTTAGTGATTGTGAGGCTGGGGACTTCCCTGAGGTAAATGAAATCTGTGAAATAAGGTACGATCGAATAGGGAATGAACCTGTCGACTGCTTGAATAACCCTTACTCTTGTCAGTTCCCGATCATGATCAATTAAAGAAACGTTGGACTTTAAATTTGAAAAATTGAAAGAATGTTCAATTGCATTGAAAACATATTCACGCTCAAAAATCTTTGTATCTATGTTAATAAATATGTTACCCTTGACACCTACGAGGAGTGGCAAAACTAGTTGGCTCGCCTCCCCTTCATAGAAGGTGGTCGATAACCCTCCAGTTGACATAATTAAAGGTAAATTTTCATTTATCTCTTATAGGTTAGTTGAAAGTCTTCCCTTCGTAATGTTGCTAAATATTAGCAAGAAATTACCATCCATCCTATAAACACCGAGGAATATTGAAATGTGGGCGAGGGGGAGATAAAGTAAAAGTTATAAAAAAATTTCAACAGTTGTGGAGCGTGACAAGACTTCTGCCATTCAGCTCAACAGGTGACCACTTGAATGTTCACAGGTATAACAACTTTTGGCTGTGTGGTGATTGCATCTGGGTTTTACATCGAAATTTGGATCGTCCAACCTGTAACAGGGAATCAAAGAGTACTTAGGGAGCTTTAGATGCTCGAGGTGCAGCCGAGAGCATCTTAGCTACCTAAGTTCTCCCCCAACTATCCGCGTGCATCCCGAATTGGACGGACGCACGCATTTAAGCTTTTGAATTATTTATGAAATCAAGTTATTTCATTATCAGTCGTAAGTTGTAGGGCTTTTTTTTCCTTTGTCATAACTAGTTATTCTTTGTGCCAGGTGACCTGAGCTTACGCCAAAAGCTTTTGGCAAGAACTGACTTTAATTTAAGCTTTCTGCCCTTACTTCAACTTTAAAAAATGCGAGAATCGTATCATTTGTTTTGGATGTGAGATAATTTCCTGATGGTTCCATAGAAGGATTGTCGGGATTCATTCATTATCCCTCAACTCACCAAATATAAAAAAAATCTGCTAAGATAACATGGGTTACCGTATATGTTTTGTCGTTGCATATACCAGCTTCCTATCTCTGTAAATTTAACCCTCATCCTCAGTCAAATTGTCAAATCCGGTAAATGGATCAGAGCACTATGCTGACACTTGAATTTCCCTGGGTACACCTTTATGGTTCTAAAGTTATAAGGCAGACATCGTTCTTCATCCACACTTCATCCCGACTGACAAAAGTTTTTCGAATCCACTTCTGTTTCTCTTATCACGGTCGTTTTCTTGTGCCATTTTCTTACATGACGATTTGTTCATCGCTGATCTTAGCTTAATGCAGGACGGGTGTAAGATGTGAAAATATTAATGACCTAGCCCATGATAGAGAGTTTGAGGCTTAGTGGTGGAGCATCAGAGCGCGGAATCCAGTTGGAGATTCGATTTTTCACGGAGGACTCAGATTTTCCGCTTTTTCGTTTGTCCGTGACAAGAAGAGAAAACTTTGAAATAATTTTTTAAATTTGTTTTTCAAAGACCTGGTATGGGAGTAAAGTTCCCCATTGGGGCAAGGAGGGCATCAAAAATTAACGAGCATAAATATTACTGGTAATACAAAAGAGAATTCATCAATATCCTAAACATTCTTTAAATGTTGATTAACCCGCCACTCATAACACAGACAAAATTTGTTGGTAATGCATTACAATAGAGCCAGCCTTTGGCAATAAAAGAATAATCGTTGAACCTGTAGGGCTTAAAAGAAGGTTTCCCTTCATTTACTTGCAGTTCATCCTAGATTCCATGGATTGTTTTCAGTTATGTATCATGTTTCTTTTCGTAGTTTTAGAGAGGCTTTCGTGGAGTGGCCTCTCAGATGTAGGTAAGAGGATTATGATTTTATTTTCCACACAATTTCTTATTTCTATAGATTCAGTTAAGTATATCGATTCAGTTAATTATTTCATAATTTTTATTCATTGAAAGATAAATGCAGGTTTTAGATTTTTAGTTTAATTTAAATGATTTCAACTGTTTGCTAAACTTTACTGTTTTTCGTCACTTTTTTTTACTTTAATCGTTATTGTCTCGCTGTTGACTAAAATCGAAACCTTTCTATTTATGAAGAATCCTTACAAAAAAACCAGAAATTGTTTGCAATTCTTAGAAATCAATAATTGATAGTTGTTCGGTGTTGTGAAATTTAAATAGTTCCATGCATAACAAAGGAGTTTGAAGAGCCAGTTGCAAACAAGGCTCTCCTAAATCACGTGATCAGCACACCGAGAGCAAAGACAGCAGAGATTTGTGAAATACAGTGTTTCATTGAAGTCAAGTGTGAATCATACAACTTTGGTCCAAATGAGGATGGTGGTTACTTGTGTGAGCTGAGTGATTCCGAAGGTGTTAGAGATCCAGACGACTTGAGGGTACGGCAAGGCTCCGTTTACCGCGCAACAAAGGTATCATGGGGAGGGGGTGTAGTGAAAAGCAAAACATGAAAATAGAGAAATTGCTTTTTCATAAAGATGAGTTTCTTGATTTTTGGACCACAAAATGTTGGCTCAAAACGTCACAAAGCTTGGAAAAACCTCTTGACAGCAATGGAAATTGTGTGTAATGGCTTACGTTCTGAGTTTACATCAAGAAAACTTCGCTAACTCTGTATTTTGTCGTTGCCTGCTTCAAGTTGTAAAACTAAGTTACCACAGTGACTTATGGTCATATTACAGTGCGTGGAGAGCCGATTCGGCCATGTTAGACGTTATGTAAATGTAGTAGCTGTGAGTTCCTGCTAAAATTTTTATCCTGCCAAGAGGTTGCGTGTAGGATGATATTTGGAAAATTTTCCACATTCAATTAGAAACGTTAACCAATCAACGACGAAATATTTCCATCTTTTCTTTATTTGATACCTTTATTCATGTAAAGATCTCTTTGTCTTCTGAACATCTTGCGAAAAACCAATAAAAGCTGGTTCTTTTTGTTTAATTTACATATATTTTCTTTTGCATTTTATGAAAGAATCCATGTGGTACCGCTCAGTGTCCTCCAAACTCACGATGTTATTCAGATTTTGAACACGAAACCTATCTCTGCGTTTGTTCACCGGGATTTACTGGAGACAAGTGCGAAACAGGTGAATGAGTGTAATAAGTTTGGCATTGCCTACTACATAAACCTGTGATCGCTTCCTTCATCGGTTTTCAAAGAGAGAGTTTTTGAAGAGTTTTATAGCATTTTAAATTAATGAGTGACACATCGAAGTTAAAACACGAGGCACACTCCCGATCAATCACGGGTTGTGGGGGGAACATCTAAACAAAATTTCATTGAGTCAAACGATCAGTAATGCTGGAGGTATGTTGACATTTTGTATATTGGACGAGTTCACAGACGGGAACCATGCCTGTCACGTGAACGCCATATGTAACAATTCTGAAAGGTCATACAGCTGTTCGTGTAAGGATGGATATAAAGGCGATGGGTTTCTAAATGAAAGTGAATATTTATCGAGTTTTGTTTCAGTTGGAATACAAATTAGTTTCTACTCCAGTAGGTAGAGTATTTATTTTAATAAAGGCAACTGCAGTGGGATAGAGGATCCCCCGAGACTGTATTCAGTAATGCCACTCTTTCTAAAGAAAAGTTCAGCGAGACATCTAGGAGCCAAACAGTTAAGCACTTTCAACATTTCCCTACATTTTGAGCTGACTCGCTGTATGTCTATGGGTTCCTTGCCTAAGGAACCGAGAACCTCGGTTCCGTTTTTTCGTTTACTCCTTTTTTCCCACTATTCTATTGTTATAGAACGAAAAAGCTGCGCCGAACTGCTTCGAGACGGTTGGAATTCTAGTGGCGTATATACCATCAATCCAGATGGTGGCAATTCAATCCAAGTGTTGTGTGACATGACAACGGAAAGTGGAGGTTGGACCGTTTTTCAGAGACGTTTGGACGGCTCTGTTGACTTCTATCGTGGATGGGAATCCTACAAAAACGGCTTTGGAAATCTGAGTGGCGAGTTTTGGCTTGGAAACGACAATATACACCGTTTGACAGACTCTGATGACGTCATGCTGAGAGTTGACTTGGAAGACTTTGAAGGGAACATCACTTACGCTGAGTACACTACTTTTAAGATGGCAGACGAGGCTGACAAGTATCAGCTTCTGATTGGAGATTACAGAGGTACCGCTGGTGACTGCATGGCTGGGAGACATTCCTTAAGGTAAATGAGATCGTAACCACAAAGAGCAACTAAATATAATCCAAAATCCCATGTGTATAGAGAATTGATAACCTAATTGACTAATGGGATGATTACCGGTAACTGAAACGATTTTGGACTTAGTGATTACGAGACTGACTAAATAAATTTTTGATTGACTGATGATGGATTGACAGATTGATTGACTGATGATTTCCTGTTTGATTGATTGATTATTTGACTGAGTGATAAACTTATTGTTTAATTGACTAAATGACTGACTGATTGCCTAATTCTTTGAACGATTCATTATAGCAAGATGTTGTTTACGACGAAAGATGTGGACAACGACTTGAGCGTTGACAACTGTGCACTGTTGTACAAAGGAGCCTGGTGGTACAGGAATTGTCACCATTCTAACCTCAACGGCTTATATCATGGAGGATCATTCAATGATTCGTATGCAGATGGTGTCTCTTGGAATTCTTTCAGAGGAAATTCATACTCACTGAAACGTACCGAGATGAAAATGAAGCCTTCAAATAGAAAATAACTAAATGGTGCTAAAAGCTGTGCTTCACAGTTTCATGGTGGAGTACCATCATAGACGTAAAGTATTTTTAATTAAAGCTAACAGTAGTTAATGTTAAGAGTAGTAGGCCCGGAATATCTGGTATAGTCAAATTGGCAAATTTAGGGCCCTCAATGTGAAAAAGCTGGTTAGTTTTTAGATTTGCACCTCTCTGACTTAGAGGCCTTTATTAAATTCAACATTTGTGTTTATTCGTTATAGTTTATCCCAAAATATGAACTTTAAGAAAATGACATCCTATGTAAGATATGTCTAGAGACTGAAACTTTTGTTGGGAGCAGTAATGCGTGTTGATTTAAACTTTGATAAAATTCGACTCGTTTTGAAATTTCTTACTAAATCACTGAGGAGGCAAAGTGTATTTCAAGACAACTATTTCAATAACGCTTTTGTTTGTTAAGCGGCATTCATAGAAAGTAAACAAATTTTTTTAACGCTTCTTTTAGACCCATCGTATTAAGAAAGATATAAATTTATCCTCGTTCCGCAAATATAGGGTTTTCTTGAAAAAAGGGGAAACATCGCACCCTTGTGCAATTTAGAAATAAATTTAACACCTATGTAGTAACAGGCAGATACTGACCGGTAATGTTGAAAAAAACCATATTGTATTGCGTATAATGCTTCAAATCGGACAACATTTTTGCACCTGCTAGCATAGTTATGCAATAAAAACTTAAAAACAAGCGTATATTTTCTTCCTCTTAAACTTTTGACGGGGAGGACTACACATGCATCATTTACATATGATAAAACGAAATCCATAAATTCATTACGAAAAACAAACGAAAGGAAACTGAAGTGGGCAAAAAAAGCTAGAGAAAAAGAAAAATCTACCCTCAATGATTTTGGACCAGGCTCTCTTGAAGATTCTACCCAGTTTCTTATTTCTCAACGTTTTGCGAAATGTTGTGAGGTGCAAGAAGCAATGTAAAAAACAATGCAATTGAAGTCCTAGACGAAAGCCGGCGAAAACACACTACAAGAGGCCTTTGGGATATGAAAAGACTATGACACCTATCGCTAAATCCTCTCAAACTGAACAACATCAGCCTTAACCTTTTAGATGAATATCGATATTCATCTGTCCCCAGAGTGTTCTTGTTATTTCTCTGCTGTACCACTCACGAATAGAAGTCAGTGACGGATTCCTAACTCTGAGTTTCGTTTCCGTTCGTCGCTGCTAGGTTATTAAAATTCTTCATAACTAGTAATTATAAACCTTGAGCCGACACTTCACTAAAGAGTTTGCCAAAACGCTTCAAACATGCATGGAGTCATGTTATCTTCTGTAGTATAGTAGTTGGCGGCACCAGACCACTTTAAAAATAAGATATGAGAGATTTTCGAAAATATTGAGAGTGTATTACCTCAAATTAGTAATGAGCGCTAACGGATGATAAATATTAACTGTAAACTAAAACGAATATTCAAAATGATTAAATTACAATCTAAAAGCATACTAATATCCAAATCGAAAAGAACATTACAATTCTACAAGAAATATTGGAGTGGAATTCAAAAACTAATTGCGGATGATATCAAAACAATTATTTTGAGATAAATTTTTATCAATATTGTTTATCCCATTTGTCTACCGGAGGATACATGTCATTGACAATATCATCAACTACCCTTAGATGTGTCAAAAAATCCAGTTCATCTCACAGCTTAACTCTCATTAACGATCGCAAATCAACCAGTATTTTGTCATATGATGTGTAAGCTAAACCACATAGCGCGATTTTTTTCTTATAATTTTTTATTGCATCGTTAGTCTAAACATATCAAACTCATGGGGTACAAATAGTCTTAACATGAATGTAGTGACCACGCCCACTTCAACACCCCACTCAAATCGAGTGAAATTTTCGAATGTTTTACCATCGTGCGGATTCTCTGAAAGATGTACCTCTGAAATATTAAACTATAATATTGTGGCTTTCTTTTTCGCTAATTTTCTAACTTGAAGATTAAGTTTTTCCCTCGTCATTTTTACCTTTTCTCCGAGCGGTTGCGTGAAATTAACAAGGCGTTTTTGATCAAAACACGACCGAGCGAAGGGTCTCGGGTGATATCTCTTTTACGCAGGCACAAATTAAAAATGTACCGCCAGAATCAAAAAGAGGAACAAATTTCCTTTGTTTTGATATGCAAAGTGTCGAACTAAAAGCAGATTTACCTTCGTCAAATGGCGTTTGAAAACAGCTGTATCTTCCTCCTTTTGATTTTTCCTGTTTTGTAAGCGTGAAAGCAGTAGGAGAGGGATCGGGAAACTCAGAAAGCGCTCCGGGAATTAATCTGCCATCGTTTACTTACAAGATAAACAAGTAAGATTTGTGAAGTTCGTTGAAGTACGAAGTCTAAATAAATGCCTTTTTAAAGCTTGTTTGCTGGATTTTTCGTAAACTTCCCTGATTAATTTTTCGTTTCAGCTTTCTAGTCTATACTATTTCAAAGCAATGTCAAGACGAAAACGGAGAACCATGAGTCGGTCCTTTCAACAATCGTAAACAAAGTGTTTGAGCAATCAGGTATACGAGGTGTAATAATCAATAGCCGCATATCAGAAAGTCTTCAGAAAGAAAGTATTCTGTCTTCAGAAAGCTGTCAAGAAAGCTAATAATCGTGGCGGAAGGCAATTCAACGGGCCCTCGGTATCGATGTAATATCATATCGATCTCAATATCATACAGTTTTGTATCTTTCTTCCGTGGATTCGCCTTTCTAACGAGGGTGTATATTGAGGATTCATTGCAAAATCGCTTTGAAATCAAAAAACATTTCAATTGCTATATAGAACTGAGTTAAAAAATTACAATTTTTAGCCAATTTTTGGAATAAAAAAAATACCGTTATTTATTCCATCTAGTTCACCTGTGGAAATTTCAAGAGTTATTGAATTGTTAACCCTAATAATTAGAACGAATTTGACCCCAATAAGCTCTTGTATTCTCAAGAGTCGTTATGTTGTGTCAGCTTCTTTGACCCAGTGAGTTTTTTTTCAGTATGACATCTGCAGCGCCTCCTTTGTAACCGTCTCTAAAATGAATTTCATAACATCCACGTTGTTTGACAACCAATTCATAATAGACCATAGCAAAATGCGACCTGCTTGAACTGATGGTGTCAATGGATCCACTATGAATTTTTTATTTCAGTGTCAGTGAATACTATAAACTAGATCCTTGCCACTATTTTACAAGTCCTGGACTGTCTCTGGGATGCTATATTGAAAATCACTAGCATCCAACTGGAGCTAATGATAGATATGGATATGTTTCAATTTGTTGAAAAAGGAATGAGAGGTGTTATTTCATACATAGCCAACAGATACGGAAAAGCAAATGAAAAATGCATGAAGAAATATGATGAGAAGGCGTCCTTAACCCTTTAACTCCCAAGATCTGATTGTTCATTCTTCCCTCTGACTGCTACACATTTCCATGTGAACCAGATGTGAGAATTAGGTGTTAGATCTAGATAACAACTTCTAGATAACAGTCTTCTCCATACCTGTTTGCGGGATAATGTATGGATATTATGGGGGGGGGAAGTTCTATGTTAATCACTTCTGGGAGTTAAAGGGTTAAAGTATATCGTGTATCTCGATGCTGATAATCTGTATGGTTGGGCTATGAGTCAATGTTTACCGAATGATAAATTTAAATGGTGCACAGGAAATAGAAATTAGAAAGATCAACTTAGCAAAACACACAGAAGGCAGTGAAAAAGGTTTAATATTGGAAGTTGATCTTGAATATCCTGATGTGTTACATGAGATTATCGATGACTATCCACTTGCAGCAGAAAAAATCGATGTGACAAAGGACATGCTTTCAAATTATTGTGAAGAAATAAGACACAAATACAATATATCAACGGCTCAAGTCAAAAAGCTGGTTCCATCATTAAATGACAAAGAAAAGTATGTACTTATTTGAAGAAAACTAGAGTGATATCTTGATTTGGGGTCAGATTAAAGAGATTCATCGAGCATTACGATGCAATCAGTCGGCGTGGCTGAAACAGTACATAGATTTTGATACAAACAAGAGAACAAGCGCTAAAAATTCATTTGTAAAAGACTTCTACAAGATTATAGATAACAGCGTATTTGGTAAAAACTGTAAAGAATATTCGCAAATGGGTAAACGTTAAACTTGTAACTGATAACAAAAATTATAGAAATATAGCTCGAAGCCAACTCAAGTGTCATCACAAATTTTTCATGAGAATCTATAGCTGTTCATAAGATCAAAGAATTAATCACTCTTAAACGCCGGCATATGTAGATATGTGTATTCTTGATCTTTCTAGACATTAATGTAAGATTTCCTTTAAAATTATATTAGAAAGAAGTATAGAAGAAAAGCAAGATTGCATTTTTACAGACACAGACAGTCTAACATATGAAATCGAAACCGGAGATGTGTATATAATAGTGATTACCCGGAAAACTCAACATATTTCGACAAAACCAATAAGAAAGTGATAAAGACAAATAATCAGAAACATTACACCACCTCTTTTTCTTTTGCCCTTACTCGAATATATTTCGGAAACATTTCGAAAATTATTATTTCGCAATAACAAAACAAGTTATGGCTCTCAGCCTTCAAGATATCATAATAGGTATTACATCACTCTCATGCCCTTTACTAAATTATTTCATTCTAATCGGAAAAATGCATATCTTGGATTGCAGAAGGACGCATGCACATCAAAATATAGACAGTTTCAAACTTAAAGTCAAAATTAATCATCAAACAGAAAAATACATTACCTCAAGAAATAAAGACTTGGGAACTTTCTATAAGAAATGGAATAAAAACTTTCCACTCTTATCTTGGGTGTTTCTCTCTTTCACTTTACATCAGTAATAATTACAATTATTGTATTAGTTTTCCCAATAATAACTGTATTTAACTTCATTCTGATAGTGACTTTGTACAGTAATTTTAATGTTTCGATATTGTTAATATAATTAACATCGTTTTAAAACAATTATAATGAAAATGCTGACAAGAGGAATTGCGAGGCTGTTGTTGGCCAAACCCCCTTGTTTTTGTGTAGTAATTTTAATTATGTCTGTAATTTGTATTTGAAATATGATAATAAATAAATAAAAATTAAAAATAAATGAAAAAATTAACAAAATAAGAAAGTGATTGGAAATTTCAAAGACAAGACTTTTGACGTACAAATAATTGAATTCTTGGGTCTAAGATAAAAAATACACTCTTGTACAAAAGATAATGAAAAAAGGGATAGAACAGCTAAAGGAATAAAGAAAAATATTACAAGAGGGAACATCAAACATAAAGACCATAAAAATATACTATTTCATAGCAAAGAAATACATCATATGATGAAAACCATTTAGAAGTCAGAATCATCAGCTTGGAAGTTAAGAAATCAATAAAGTGTCACTCAGCTGTTTTGATGATAAAATATGTATTCACGAAAATAGTATAACTAGCTATGCTTATGGACTTTATAACATACAAAACTAGAATGAGAAAAAAAAAACAAGAAACATGGTGTCACGCCACAGCAGTGGCGGTCTACATACAAGTGCCACAAGTGCTGTCTATTTCATGTGTCGAAGGCATTGCTACAGCTGAATGACTTTCAAAATATTTGACAACAGTCAATCCATTTTTATCAAACTATAAAAATGACAACTTACGACCTAATACTTTTTGTATGGCAGAAAAAGCTTGTAAAATTTTCGCAGTTGCCCTACTCGTCTTTTTTTAACCAGACATCGCGTGTTTATCCAGTCAATAAAGTTACCAGAGATAAATCCTCTTTTTTTGTTCTCTTGAAACCTGTCAAATGCTCGAATGAGCCCTTACAATATCTTTTTCATAAACAGTGTCGTACACCATCAATTCCGACGCGTGGGAAACCACTATTTCAATTGTCGTATGAAATAAACTGGTTAGTATCTGGGTTTATTATCCAACCGCACAAAGTAGAGTACAAATAACACGCGAATAGAGTACAAATATCCTGCGATATTATACAGTTACTGGACAGCTGGTTATTTTGTACTGTAAAAAAACGTGTTTGACAGGTTGGCTGCACTTGTCTTCTCTGGTGCCGTATTTAATATCTGCAACATTGTTCTTGGTTCACAGCCCTCAGCTTCTCAAGAGCTGGCAGCGATTCCTGCGGAGCTTCGTCGCCATGTGATTGAAACGGGTGATGAAAATTAAATGTAGTTTTGAGAGATTCTTTTTTTTGTAGGCTTAGAGCTCATACATGTCTTTGAGAGTTTGTCTCCTGGTAGATTCAAAGCTTTGTTACTTGTGGTAAATTATTCATCACTTTTCATCGATAAACGAACACTTTTCTTCTTGCAGTACTTTCAAATGTGCACGATTTGCGCATCGTTTTGAAACCTTGTGACAAGTTGACGTCTCATAAGCCAATCCGACGCGAACATTATGCAAGATTATGTCACAAACCGCTTCTCTGTGTGCTTCGCTTTTCCCGCCTTATAGAAGTGCATTAAAAATAAAGCAGTTGGATAATAAATAGCTTGTTAAATGTTTTGGTGTGTATTATCGCTGAGTACTTTTACTCGTTGTTTGTATTTTGACACGCGCTGCGGGCTTGTCAAAATCTGGCACGAATCGTAAAAGTACTCAGCTACCCCTCACACCAAAACGTTTAATAGGATATATATCTTTCTCTTCTCAGGAGCTGATTTTATCAAGATGCATCAGCCGCCTGCTGATTTTTCAACTACCATAATACCATAATATCATGACCTCGGCAAAGCTCCTGTGGTATTACATCGCTGATTTCCTGTTTCTCTGAGAATGTCACGCAATGGAAAAATGTTGTGAGATCATATCGTTAGTCTCCTACAGTATTCCAAGGCTTTGATATAATAAAAATAATTGATTCCATCAGATGCTTCTATTAAATAATTCTATCAAATGGAAATTAGTAAAAAGAACTGGCGTTTGTACAAGATCGCTTTTTCAAAGTGATCTGGTACGATAAGTTAGTAGGAATTATTGCGTATTAGGTTGATAAGTTAGTAGGCATTATTTGTATAGGTAATTACATAATATAGGGTGTAATTTGGAATAAATAAGCACGAGTAAATTTTTTCAAAGACTAACAAAATTGCACAAGCCCGTAAGGCGGGTGCAATTTGTGGTCTTTGAAAAAATTTACAAGCACTTATTTATTTCAAATTGCAAAAAAAGCAAAAGAAATGAAAAGTAGGCAAAGAAAGCTAAAGAAAGGAAAACTTTATCTTAAATTATTTTGGACCGGGCCTCCTTGAAGGTTCTATCCAGGGTGACTATTTTGACCCTCTGATGAAGATTCTCATTTCTCAAACGTTTTGCGAAATGTTGCGCGATGCAAGACGCGATGTAAACAAACCATGCAATTGAAGATCCTTGCCGAAAGCGGGCGAAACACACCACAGGAGGCCTATGGGCTATGAAAATAATGTGACAGCTTTGCTAAATCTTTTGAAAAAAATATTTAAATATCGATACTCATCTGTCCTAAGAGTGCCAGAAGCGATGTGAACAAGCTATGCAATTGAAGATCTTGGATTAAAGATCTTATGTAAACGTTTACTTTTCTTCATTATACGCTTTCTGACGGTAAAGACTACACATGCATCTCTGTTTAATATATTTTTCTTTATTTACTGTTCGCGTAACCGTTAGAATAATAAAAAGGCTAAAAATGTAGCTTATACTGTCATTAAGGATTTACTAGGATTCTCCCTGCAGTTTGTAGTGGAAACATAAGGACGAGAAGTCCAATGGCCGTAACATCATTGTAGCTAACATCATTTGGCGCTCCGGCCACGCAATACGTTCGTCTGTTCTTCTCGATTTATCCTTTCTCCGCCATTATTGGCGACGTGTCTTCACAATTTTCTACGTCACAACTTTGTAACATGATCGTTCTGACTGCGCGCTTAATGTAGACACTTTTTGGCCGCCAAGTCAGGTAGCACCCCACTTAACAAACGATAGAGTCTCATTAACTTCCTGTTTTAATTTTGGAAATTTCCTTTGCCATCCTAATTAAGCGATCGAAATTAGGTACACGTTTATTTTTCTTCATCATAAGCTTTCTGACGGTAAAGACTACACAGGCATCTCTGTTTAATTTTCTTTTTTTTTATTTATTGTTCGCGTAACCGTTAGAATGATAATCAAAGTGCTCTGTGAGCAAACTCGTGAAATGACACATGATTTTTTAGACTATGTTTAATGTTATCTGGTTTAGGGAATTTTGTGGTTGATTGTCATATCTAGAGTACGAGCAGTAGTTCAGTGTTCGCTAATGTAGCAAAGAAACAAAGTAACGTTGGAATAAGAAGGCATTACAATTGAAATGATCATGCTATTACATTTGACAAGGTGGATGATGTCATGTGTTTTAAACGTCTATCATTTTTGTTTCTGGTTCAAAAGAAAAGGTTGGAAGTAAATGTGGGTGACAAGTGAAATTTACTGTCTTTCGTTGTAAATATTAGAAAATCAAGGCAATACTGTCTTAATGAAAACATTAACGATTCCCTTTTTATCAAATGAGACAAACGGGAACGAGTTTTGAGTGATATAACTAGGCCAAGCCTGCCACCGTCATTTTGGATCTCCGCATGGGTAGATTTAAGTCACGTGCTACGCAACGTATAATCAATAACAAGATAGAATTTCATTTCAGGCCTATTTATCAATTTTGTGGTGTGTAACTTTCGCATTTTAGTACGTTGTATGTATGTTGAATCTTCAAATTGTCTTGAAACTTAAAAGAAAATTGTTCTTTAAAAATTCAATGAAAATCGGTAGCTAAAATTGTTTGTTTAGGTGTTATTTGATTTTCGTGTTGACTTGTTATTTCGTCAGTCGCCGGCATCTTTTGTTGCTTTACACAGGAAAAACACACGCGACGAAACGTAATGATCAATTTTGTCCTCAATCTCACGCCATAACAGAAAAAGCTTTTGAACATCTGTAAACTCCGAGCGCTTCGCAGTAAGTGATATTTTCAATGAATCTTCGGATTGTTTTCAAGTTCAAGGATTGTAAATTACAATTTTCTGAAAAACGAAGGTTGTTCTGTTATTTCAGTGTGAATCCTTGCATGCCTGCCAGTCGTTGGCGCCGCTTCTTGAAACTAAAACGAAAAAAAAAACTCTTTTAAGATTATCATTGGCTTCTTTTTCACCCCACCACTATTCTTAGCAACAAAGGTCGCCATTTCGTCTGTTTATTGCTCGCCAAAAACTATCAAATGCACTCAAAAGCCTAAAATCCAAAAAAAGTTTACAGGAATCGACCAATGGAGCAAGCGAGCGAGCGAATGGCATTCCCCACATCGTATCTATAACTCGCTCTTGCGCATGCGCGCAATTCACGAGTTAAAAAGGCTACTATGGCACAACTTTGTAACGTGATCGTTCTGGCCTTTAATGTAGACACTTTTTGGCCGCCAAGTCAGGTAGCCCCCCACTTAATAAACGATAGAGTCTCATTAACATTTAATTTCGGAAATTTCCTTTGCACCTGCCAGCCTAGTTAAGCGATAGAAATTAGGTAAACGTTTATCTTTCTTATCATAGGCTTTCTGACGGTAAAGACTACACAAGCATCTCTGTTTAATATTTTTTTTTACTTACTGTTCGCGTAACCGTTAGAATGATAAAAAAGGCTTAAAATATAGCTTATATTGTCATTAAGGATTTGCTAAGATTCTCCCTACAGCTTGTAGCGGAAACATAAGGACGAGAAGTCCAATGGCCGTAATATCATTGTAGCTAACATCATTTGGCACTCCGGCCACGCAATACGTTCGTCTCTTCTTCTCGATTTATCCTTTCTCCACCATTATTGCCGACGTGTCTTCACAATTTCCTACGTCTCATTAACTTACTGTTTTAATTTTGGAAATTTCCTTTGCACCTGCCAGCCCAGTTAAGCCGTAGAAATTAGGCAAACGTTATTTTTTCCTCATCACAAGCTTTCTGACGGTAAAGACTACACATGCATCTCTGTTTAATATTTTTTCTTTGTGCCGTTGTGTACGGCATAAACCGTATCTCAGAGCCAGATTTGAAGGCTGTTAACTTCGCTGACAAGATAAAGGGGAAAAAGCTGACTGGAAGCCTCATAAGAGAGGTAGAGTTGGATTCGGAAAGTTCCTGTCAGTTAGAGTGTTTAGGTAAAGAGCGATGTCAGTCTTACAACTTTGGAACCATAATGACCGATTCAAAGAAACTCAAGTGTCAACTAAGCGGCTCTGATCGATTTGCTGGATTTGCTAACTTTACTGAAGATAACGATTTTATTTACAGAGGAATAAAGGTATTTGAGGTACTTTTTCGTAATGTTACAGCAATGGCCATTGACTGGGTGAAAGACTCTTATTATCGTAAATTGTAGGTGAATTTATTCGGAATATCTTCTAAATTTACTGTCAGCACTATTAGAATCGCAGAAAGGTCGTTTCGCAACCTGAGCGGGGTTGAAAAATTTATGTTCGATAAAACGAGGTCCAATAATTTATTGGGAAAAACAAAAGAAAGGAAAATTGGGCAAAGAAAAATAAAGAAAGGAAAAGTTATTTTGGACCGGGCCTTCTTGAAGGTTCTATCTAGGGTGACTATTTTGACCCTTTGAGGAAGATTCTTTTTTCTCAAACGTTTTGCGAAATGTTGTGCGGTGCAAGACGCGATGTAAACAAACCATGTAATTGAAGATCCTTGAAACACACTACAGGCAGCCTGTGGGCTATGAAAATAATGTGACACCTTTGCTGAATATTTTGAAAAATATTTATATCGATATCCAACTGTTCCAAAATTGCCAGAAGCGATTTGAACAAACTATGCAATTAAAGATCTTAGACTAATGCCGGCGATAACACACTATCAATCAATCAACTTTATTTAGTGTCTAAAACTTCTAGTTAGCCCGAAGGCCGACTAATCGGGGATACTCCCTATAAAATTACAAATAAGTTAATTTAATTTAAGTTAAAATAAGCTATCACTTGTTACAATATATATATATATATATATATATATATACATATCTAAAATTCCACTTACATTTTAAAATATGGACTAAAATATAATAATTTCTACCTATACAACTTTATACAAACTTTAATTATGTCTAAAATTATAAACACACTTCGGACAATTCCCTGTACAGACGTAATTTGAAACTAGGTTCGCGAGGTCTTTTCTTCGGATGTTTGAGACGAATGATGCCAGAGTTACTAAATTGCCTGTCGCTATGTCCAAGTTTTGACCACAAATATGGTCCAAGATATCTTAGGGAATGTTTGAGGCTTTTGGGATATAACATGGCGCCCGTCGCTAAATTTATTCAAACTAAACAATGTCACCCTTAACCGTCTGGATAAATATCGGTATCCATCTGTCCTTAGAGTATTCATGCTTTTATTTCTCTGCCCTACCACTCACGAAAGTTACTCAGAATCTGTGTTTTAATGCATCTCTGCATAAGGACTATGCGGAAGTCCCAATAGAAAGTTGCATGTTGTTGTCCATGATCGATGACACAATTGATGCGTTAAATAACATACCTTGGTCTTATTTTTAACACCAATCTTGCCCGAGAACGTTTTTGCGTTCTTTTACCCGGCTTAAACCATTTGAAACGTCTCATCGACGAAAAATTTCGATTCCTTAAATCTCTTCTTTAAAAAATCACTCGAAGAAAGTTTAAGAAGCGCTTGAGAAACACATACTCTTTAAAAACCCTTTTTATTTGAAATATAGAATAATTCATGTAAATGGAATTTTTCTTTACAGAGTGCTTGTGAGGAGGACAGTTTTCAGTGTGGCGAGAAAGGAACCTGTATTCCGAACTATAAAGATGGCAGCGTACGATGCAAATGTGACAATGGCTATACGGGAAAACCTTGCAGTAAGTTTAGATGTCTTACTGTTTGATTATCTCTAAGATAATTTTATAATCCTCCTCATTTTCTTCTCAACAGAAGCGAGAAGTTGCTCTCAATTGTTTCAAGATGGTCTCAATTCCAGTGGTGTGTACACCATCAATCCAGATGGCGGTAAACCAATACAAGTATTGTGTGATATGAATAAGGACAATGGAGGTTGGGCCGTTTTTCAGAGACGTTTAGACGGCTCCGTTGACTTCTATCGTGGATGGGAATCCTACAAAAACGGCTTTGGAAATCTGAATGGTGAGTTCTGGCTTGGAAACGACAATATACACCGTTTGACAGACTCTGATGACGTCATGCTGAGAGTTGACTTGCAAGACTTTGAAGGGAACATCACTTACGCTGAGTACACGACTTTTAAGGTGGCAGACGAGGCCGACAAGTACCGGCTTTTGATTAGAGGATACAATGGTACTGCTGGTGACTCTATGGCTGAGAGACATTCCCTAAGGTAAATGAAATCGGAATCACAAAGTGCAAAAAGAATATTATCTAAATTCGGTGTTTGCTTTCGAATACTAGCTGACCCTAACCCTATGGCTTTCGATTGGAGGATACAATGGAAGGGCTGGTGACTCTAGTACTGCAATGCTACATCCATTGCTGTAAGAAACCCTCAATTACCAGTTTCCACTGACGAAGGGCGAACGTCACCTTTGTAAATATTTAGGGTGGCCAATTTACATTAACAAATCCGTTGATAAAACCAAAATTACCTCAATTACTAGGTTTATTATGAATTTGATATTGAAATTTTAAGCATGATCCCCAAAGAGTGGATGTCATAAGAAAGGCTGGTGACTCAATTAAAGTGCATTCAAAGAACGGAGATGATCCATTACCGGCTGAGGGGAAGCACGTTGTGATTAATGGTACTTCATTAGTATACTGACACCGAACGAAACTGAAAATCTTACCAGGCTTTGATTGGATTTCAAACCTGAAGCCGGATGTTCCATTCGCACAAACACGTTAAGTGGTGTTTAAATATATATTCAAGTATGTTAGAAACAAGCTTAAACGAACTTTTTTTCATTTCAGCAATATGCAGTTTTCTACAAAAGATCAAGACAATGATTATCGTAATGACCTACCCAGCTGCGCCCAACGTTTTAAGGGAGCCTGGTGGTACAGAAATTGCCATTGGTCCAATCTGAACGGATTATACCTCAATGGTTCCCATGCCACTTTTGCTGATGGAGTCAATTGGTACACCTTTAGGGGGTTTTATTACTCACTAAAACGTACCGTGATGAAAGTAAAAACGAAGGCATAAGGTGATGTCTGTGCAAGAGTGAACGAAAAGGAACCAATTTGAACTTAAACCCCCGCTAAACCTAGCTCAGCAAGTAAATACGTATTTATGATGACACCCGGCATTAAATTGAACTGAATTTTTTTGATGGCTTTTAATACAAATTATACCGACGAAGCAACAATTAAGTGTAGCCGTATGTAAAAGTTTTTATGAGTTTAATCATATAGGAGCCTTTGGACTACAACTTCGATTAGCAGTTGAAAACTGCAACCAGGATTCTACATGCGCCATTTGCATTGAAAATTTATATTGACTTGTATTCGAGAGGATTGCGAAGCATTAATTAAAGTGAGAGCAAGTCCCCTAATTTATTGTTCGCTTAACAGTTATAATACTAAAAAACGGCTGAAAATTTGGCTTATATTTTCATTAGAGAATTGTAACCAAAATTCTCCAAACAGCTTTAACTTGATAATCTCCATTGATTTGTGTTTCATTCTTCGGAAGTAGTAGAAGCATTAAAGACGAGAAAATTAAGTCCGAAGTTCAATGACCGTAATCTCTGGTATATGGAGATTTGAAAAGAGGAGCTGCCCTCCCATCAGACCAAGCGAATTTTCTGAGTTCCGTTCCCTTATATTTCCGTTCAGTTAATCACTTCACATTTGATCACACAGAAAATTACAGGGAAATTCTACCGTCCCGGCAGAGAACGTATCGTCGTAGTAGTGAAGAAACAGAAACTTTTGGACTGCCGGACTAGCCTGGCTCAGCTTTGCACCCTATGCCCCCTTAGTAATGTCTAGGAGTTTCACAACTAATTGACAAAGCAGGTCCGAAGTCCATTTGCTGCAGATCCCTGGTACATGGAAATGAGTGACGGATTTCTAACCTCCGGTTAGTCCGAACCAATCTTCTGCGTTTCGTTTCTGTTCGTCGCCGCATAGGTTATTAAAATTCTTCGATACTATTGATTATAAGCCTTGAGAAATTTCACTCAAAAATGTATCAAAATGCCTCAAACAGGCATGGAGTGATGTTATCTTTGTTGCCTGTGTTTTTGTTCTTCGCCCTTTTTTTGCATACAATCAATAATGGTTGTAATCGCCATTAATTATACAACCTCACAAAATAGATAAGTAGATAACACCAGCTCTGGCCTCTAAGAAAATTATTGTTATAAACGGAGACATTCGAATAATAACATTTAACTTCGAAGCCGTTAACTTTGATAGAGATTAAAGAAAAATTGGTCTGAATGGAAGCGTTTGCAACGAAATAGAAGAAGACTCTTGTCGAATGCAAAGCGTGGGAAAACGTGTTAAGATGAATGTCATACAACTTTGACAGCAATAGCAAGAAAATGTCGAAAACGACATTTGAAAAAATTTGATCAATTTGATAGGCTGAACAATTTTAATAAAGATAAATAATTTCTTTCCAAGAGGTAAAGACAGAATATAAACTTACTTGTGTCGAAGAATCATCGAAATGGTGATAAAAGCGTTTTGTTGTAAAAAAAAAAAAAAAAAAAAAAAAAAAGCTGCGATATTCATCAGAGTTTGTTTTACCTTTTACATAATCTTAGAATTCGAGTTTAACTCAAATGAAAATAGAGTCTCTTATTTGACGGGCAGATCCTGGTATGGAGGTAAACTTCTCCATTGGGGCGAGGAGGCCATCAAAAATTAATTAGCAGAAATATTATTGGTAATACAAAAGAAATTCATCAATATCCTTAACTTTCTTTAAGTGTAAATTGACCCGCCACTCATAACTCAGACAAAATTTGTCGGTAATTCTTTACAATAGAGCCAGCCTTTTGGCAACAACAGAATAATCGTTGAACCTGTATGGCTTCAAAGAAGGTTTCCCTTCAGTTACTTGCAGTTCGTCCTAGATTCCATGAATTGTTTTCAGTTATGTATCATGTTTCTTTTCGTGGTTTTAAAGAGGCTCTCGTGGAGTGGCCTCTCAGATGTAGGTAGGAGGATTATGATTTTATTTTTCCACACAATTTATTATTCCTATAGATCCAGTTAAGTCCACCATAATTTTATACTTTTTATTCATTGAAAGATAAATGCAGGTTTTAGATTTTTAGTTCAATTTAAATAATGGCAACTGTTTGCTAAACTATACTGTTTTTCGCCAATTATTTTGATCTAAACTAATCTAAACTTTAATGACAACAATTACTTTTTATCAAAAATAAACAAGTTTCGAAAGCAAAGCCCATGGCTCAAATAAAAAAATATTTTTATCTTTATTTCATCACCCTTTCTAGCCGGTTTTTGCCAAATTATGATTGAATGTGTGATCTTTTGATAACCTCCCAAAGTCGGTGCACCAGTCTTTTTACATTAAGCCTTCTTGTCTCGTAGTGGAGCTCGCTGTCAAGTCATTGCGAAACTTTTTCATTCATAAAGACACCATAAAATAGTATGGCTCATAAAGTCGGTGCCACAAATGTTCCAAACTGAAATGTAGGGTTTTAATCGTTATTGTCTCGCTGTTAACTAAAATCGGAACGTTTCTATTTATGAAGAATCCATACAAGAAACCAGAAATTGTTTGCAATTCTTAAAAATCAATAATTGATAGTTGTACTGTGTTGTGAAATTTAAATAGTTCCATGCATAAAAAAGAAGTTTGAAGAGCCAGTTGCAAACAAGGCTCTCCTAAATCACGCGATCAGCACACCGAGAGCAAAGACAGCCGAGATTTGTGAAATACAATGTTTCATTGAAGTCAAATGTGAATCATACAAGTTTGGTCCAAATGAGGATGGTGGTTACTTGTGTGACATGAGTGATTCCGATGGTGTTAGAGATCCAGACGACTTGAGGGTACGGCAAGGCTCCGTTTACCGCGCAACAAAGGTATCATGGGTAGGGAATGTAGTGAAAAGCATAACATGAAAATAGAGAAATTGCTTTTTGATAAAGATGAGTTTCTTGATTTTTGGACCACAAAATGTTGGCTCAAAACTTCGCAAAGCTCGGGAAAACCTCTTGACAGCAATGGAAGTTGCATGTATTACTTGCTTACGTTCTGATTGGACATCAAGAAAACTTCGCTAACTCTGTATTTTGTCGTTGCCTGCTTCAAGTTGTAAAACTAAGTTAATACAGTGACTTATGGTCATATTACAGTGCGGGCAGAGCCGATTGGGCCATGTTAGACGTTATGTAAATGTAGTAGCTGTGAGTTCCTGCTAAAATTTTTATCCTGCCAAGAGGTTGCGTGTAGGATGATATTTGCAAAATTTTCCATATTCAATTAGAAACTTCAACAAATTAACAAAGAAAATTTTCCACTTTTTCTTTATTTGATACCTTTATTCATGTAAAGATCTCTTTGTCTTCTGAACATCTTGCGAAAAACCAAAACAAGCTATTTTATTTTCTTTGGCATTTCATTAAAGAATCCATGTGGTACCGCTCAGTGTCCTCCAAACTTACGATGTTATTCAGATTTTGAACACGAGACCTATCTCTGCGTTTGTTCACCGGGATTTACTGGAGACAAGTGCGAAGGCAGGTGAATGAGTGTAATAAGTTTGGCATTGCCTACTACATAATCCTGTGTCGCTCCCTTCATCAGTTTTCAAAGAGAGATTTTTCGAAGAGTTTTAGAGCATTTTAAATTAATGAGTAACACATCGAAATTAAAACATGAGGCACACTCCCGATCAATCACGGGTTGGAGGGGGAACATGAAAACTAAATTTCGTTGACTCAAACGATCAGTAATGCTGGAGGTAGGTTGATATTTTGTGTATTTGGACGAGTGCACAGACGGGAACCATGCCTGTCACGTGAACGCCATATGTAACAATTCTGAGAGGTCATACAGCTGTTTGTGCAAGGATGGATATAAAGGCGATGGGTTTATATGTGAAGGCGAATATTTATCGAGTTTTGGTTCCAGTTGAAATATAAATTAATTTCTACTCCAGTAGGTAGAGAATCTATTTTAATAAAGGCAACTGCAGTGGGATAGAGGATCCCCTGAGGCTGTATTGAGTAGTGCCACTCTTTCTAAAGACAAGTTCAGGGAGACATCTAGGAGCCGAATAGTTAAGCACTTTCAACATTTCCTTACATTTTGAGCTGACTCGCTGAATGTCTATGATTTCCTTGCCTAAGGAACCGAGAACTTCGGTTCCGTGATGCTTTTACAAATTTAACCGGGCAAATTGATGAATAAAGTGAGGTGGTTTGTTTAGTTGTTGTTGTTGTTGTTTTTTTTTCGTTTGCTCCTTTTTTGCTACTATTCTACTCCTATAGAACGAAAAAGCTGCGCCGAACTGCTTCGAGACGGTTGGAACTCCAGTAGCGTATATACCATCAATCCAGATGGTGGCAATTCAATCCAAGTGTTGTGTGACATGACAACGGAAAGTGGAGGTTGGACCGTTTTTCAGAGACGTTAGGACGGCTCTGTTGACTTCTATCGTGGATGGGAATCCTACAGAAACGGCTTTGGAAATATGAGTGGTGAGTTCTGGCTTGGAAACGACAATACACACCGTTTGACAGACTCTGATGACGTCATACTGAGAGTTGACTTGGAAGACTTTGAAGGGAACATCACTTACGCTGAGTACACGACATTTAGGGTGGCAGACGAGGCTGACAAGTATCAGCTTCTGATTAGAGATTACAGAGGTACCGCTGGTGACTGCATGGCTGGGAGACATTCCTTAAGGTAAATGAGATCGTAACCACAAAGAGAAACTAAATATGATCCAAAATCCTATGTGTATAGAGAATTTATAAACTAATTGACTGATTGTTTAAGAGGTGGGATGATTACCGGTAATTGAAAAGATTTTGGACTTAGTGATTAAAAGGCTGACTAAATAAATTTTTGACTGACTGATGATGGATTGACAGATTGATTGACTGATGATTTCCTGTTTGATTGATCGATTATTTGACTGAGTGATAAACTTATTTTCTAATTGACTAAATGACTGATTGATTGCCTAATTGTTTGAACGATTCATTATAGCAAGATGTTGTTTACGACGAAAGATGTGGACAACGACTTGAGCGTTGACAACTGTGCACTGTTGTACAAAGGAGCTTGGTGGTACAGGTATTGTCATAATTCTAACCTCAATGGATTATATCATGGAGGATCATTCAGTGATTCGTATGCAGATGGTGTCTCTCGGAATTCTTTCAGAGGAAATTCATACTCACTGAAACGTACCGAGATGAAAATGAAGCCTTCAAATTGAAAATAACTAAATAGTGCTAAAAGCTGTGCCTCACAGTTTCATGGTGGAGTACCATCACAGACGTAGAGCATTTTTAATTAAAGCTAACAGTAGTTA